AAATGTCAACGTTAAAATTAAAAATAACATATAACACTATAAGTACGAGTAATTAAATAAAATATTACAAACAATTTGATAAGAAAATATTAACTCAGTGTAAACTATTAAATATAAATATATGAATAATGAAAGAATATTTTGGTTTTCTAAATTACCTACCTATTTAAACAAAATAAAAACTTTGTTATTACATATTCGTTTTTAAATTTGTATTGTGTCTATTTATTTTACTATACTTGTTAATATGTATTTAAAAATGAGAGGTAAATAAACTTTTTTCCAAAACCACAATTATTTACCGGGTTAAAAATAAAAAATGTTTTATAACTAAATATATACACATAGGTACAGCTGCTTTTATCGAATGAATTTAAAATTGAAAAATGACAGGTGTATATAGTTAAATATTATAGTCTATAGATTCGATACTATTTGTAAAATATAATATGTAATAACTTAATAAATATAAAATTTTAATACTTACGATAATATTGAAAAACAGGAGAAAACGTCCGTGTGTGTTTTTGAAGTATTCCAAAACGATTAAGAGGTTTTGTCTGGTACACTGACTTATATCGAATGGCGCCAAAAAACTAGTGGCCGCTTAAACTAGTGGTCTTTTCGTACTATGTTGAATTGGCGTATAAACGTAAGGTCTTGACCATTACACCGTGAAGATGTTAGGATGATACCGCACTGACGTCACGGTCAACAGGTGCCATTGGTACTCGTGTATTATAGGTATTGTTAATTTTTGCTTTTAATATTCGAAATATTTACAAACGAAAATCATTTTGTTATCCATTGTTAAACGTGTGGAATCCCAATACATTCATTGTATAATACCTACATTAAGCGCTATAATTTCCGACCTAAATACGCTATTGCAAAATCATTTAAACGGTTAATTGTTTGTTGAATTATAGATTGTCGAATTGTACAAATATTATTGGAACCGATTCGGGGGCCAATACAAATTCATATTTCGGAATGTTTCATTACAGCTTATGTTTGAATGTATAATTTAATTGAATTCAATGCCATGATACACCTTGATGTTATAATAATATTACCTACACCACTATTCCGTATAATATAATTTAATATTAGTTTGTAAGTCCTGTGCATTTATAAACAGAAATGAAGTGTTTTTACTTCGAATACCGTGAAAGTAAAAATATTCTAACCTAATATACCAGTTGTTAACTATTTAAATGCTAATTTTTAAAATGGTAAGTAATTAAACATAATATTATTACTATTTATTCTGAAAATTGCATAAAACAATTAAGCCATAGGTATACTAGATTTTAGGTTTCAAACAGATTATAAATAATCGTATAGCATATCACAAAAATGTATTGTTTTATACGAACCATTAGAAATTTGGCATAGTTTATAAATAATGTATCGCTAGTAATTTGTGTTTAATGTTTATTCATAGTATAAAATGTATAATTCCTAAAGCATTTATATTTTGTTTGTATCTGTGTAAATTATTACTTTTATTCCACTTATAAAATCTCTGAACGATTCACATTTATTGAATTATGTTCCTTCATATACGTCTCTATTCACATTAAAGAAGTACATATTAGTATACGAAATAATTCACTAAGCATGTTCGCTTTTACAATGACATGATAATTGGCTATTAAGTTTTATTGCTGTTTCCTCGAATAAAAATTAGTTAACATCATGCTAACTTATTAAATCACTTTGTTTACAACAATGGGTTTTAATAACAACATTATAACGAATTTTATTTTTATAATAATCAACCAACCTAAATTTAAATTAAAGAAACACATTTCGAAAAGCTATTTTATTAAGCCGGTCCCACACGACTGGTGTATTTGGCCAACATTAATCACGGGTGATATATGACCAATACTGGCGTTTGCTCATACGTAACTGGTGTATATTTATAAGTACTGTCATTGCCCCTGCACTAGTATACATTTGTCATAATAACTGTTCATTCTCTCACACGAATTGTATAGTTGACCAGTAAATAAGTTCTTCATATTGTTGGATAATTAAAATGTTCGTATGGCCAATTAAACTGCCATTTACTAGCCGTGTGGGAGCAAATACCAAGATGTGAACATTGATGGTTCTTTGGCTTGTACCAAATTTACTGATAATGCACCGGTATGAGCCAGTGACCAATAATTATGTTAAGCCTCCAGTACGACTGGCGCTTTGTCAAAAATATTGACCAAGTACACCAGTCGTATGGAACCGGCTATAAGAATAGGTTTTTCTTGTGGGGTCAATGATTTGAATGAATAATTAAAATTATATATCTCTATAATATATCTATCTATGTGTCTTTATATAATATACAGGATGATCTTTTTTATTGTAAACCAAAAATTTCCTTTGAGGATTTTAAGTGAATTTGATTTATATTATTTTTAATCATTACGGAATTGGTTAAGCTTTATTTTAAAACTATTTTGAATTTTTCACCCCTACTCTATGTACCTTAATTAAGTATATACTTTTGTTTTTCAAATAGGAAACTTCTTTTTTTGAACATAGATTTGAATAGAGATAATTTTTCCAAAAATTTTGATATAATGCATAACACAAATATCAGATTTAGCGTTTATGACTTATAGCCGTTTAAAGCTTAGACTGGAAAAATAGGGAACTATATTACTATAGAAGTTTAGAGTGAAACATAATTATTATCAATATTAGATATTTGAATAGCAATTTTGTTATCATCATTTACCATCTATATTATACTCTTTGGCGCATACCCTGTTAGTTGCGACTATTATGGGAACCAGGGGAGACACATAAACGAATTCCTACAGGTACAGTCACAAAATGTCAATTTCTAAATTACCTAATATTAGATACCACTTAAAGGTAAACATTTGGGGGAATGGATTTATCCACAATTTTTATGTGTCGTCAGCAATTTGTCGGATTATTTTTTCTAGAAGTTTTTCTTTTATGACTTGTGATCGAATATAAAATAACCATTTTGATAGACTTTGTATTCGATTCCGGGTTAGCTTATATTATAGATATTTATAGGCATACATTTTACTAATTGAAAATTAATTTCTTAATCAAACCGTTTACTTTAATTTCTGAATATTTAATTGAATCATACAAGGGTAAGCGTAACATTTTTTAATTGAATTTTTACTAGACCAATTTTTTATTAAAAAAAAAAAAAAATATAAAAAAATAATTCGTACAAATGGTACAAACTCACAAGAATATTTTCTCAGCCATGTATTTGACCAAAAAGCATTGACATGAAAAATAATACGACGCAAAATATTTTATCTGAAAATGTTCTCTTTACATAAATTACAAAAATTTAAACTATAATATTTTCGGTTAAAAAACGGTTCAAATGAATTATGTTTTGACTAAATAACTTTTAGGCTACATCAGTGATTCCCAAACTATTTTCATTCAACGCTCCCTAATAATAAAACAATATTTTCATCCCTCGGGCAAAGAACATTTAATAAAATAGGTTAACAATTATTTAATATTTATGAGTTAACAGTAAACTTATTATTTTATTTTTTACAAAATAATTAATGCGAACAGTGCGCTTGTTTTTCGTTTATTAATTTTTCAAAATTAGGAATTAACGTAGTTACTGCAACACGCATTTCTTTTTCCACGTTAAGTTTGGACCGATATTTTGATTTTAATACGGCTACTGCTGAAAATCCTGCTTCACTCAAATACGATGTGCAAATGGTATTGATAAGCTTTGTTTGCTAACTTCAGAATATTCATCTTTAATACTGTTCCAAAATCCTAAAATTAAATATGAAGAAAATTGCATTCGTAGTGAAGAATCGGTTGAGTAAGATAAGATAATCGTTTCTATAAAATTGCTATCGGACACATAATTGATCTAAAAATAACTATATGCATAAAATTCCAATCGCGCGCCGCGCCTCCCTTGTTAAGTGCTCGTGCCTCCTTTGGGTGGTGAGCCACACAGTTTGGGAATCGCTGGGCTATATTATTTTTTAATAATTTATATCTGATTGTATTATTTCAGATAAATGATACAGTATACAGTACAAAACAACGTTCGGCTGAATTATTTCCAATATTTATTTTTTAACACTTCAAATTTATAGATTAATATACAATTGTATGCATAACATTTAAATATCATGTATACAATTATTTTATTTTTAAGATTTAGAATATTGTGCTTTGTATCAAGTCCAAATGAAATTAATTCTCGAGTATTATGAAAATAAATTTTATCTTAATATTGAAAAATATTCATTAAATATTAATCCTCGTTAATACGAATGAGTATCATTTTGTATAATTTTTAATTGTAATTAATATTTTAGTTAAATAAACTGTCTAATTGAGTTAAAAACTGCTGTATTATTAAATGTTAAATATGTTACACTGTAATTGATGAATTTGTATGGTACATAAAGTACCTAAAACTAACTTGAAAGTAATTTTGTATTAAATTTGCTTAAATGAAATAGTATGAAAATAACACGTAACGATAATTAAACTTTTTATTATTATATAGTATATTACTAGAAGTTAAGAAGAAGAATTCTGAGAATACCTTATTATTTAATATTATGAAGAATGTGGTAGTGGTAAGTTTCGCTTTGCTTAAATTAATTATCTTTATTTGAACTTGAATAATCTACTGTACCTACTGTTAACTACCTACAAGGTACCTAGTGTCGGCGTTATATATAATGGTGCCCTGGGCAGAACCATGTTCTTGTGCTTCCCTGTCAATTAATCAACTATTGTTTAAGCGTCCTCCTTACCCTGGGCGTAAGCCTTGGTCGACCACATCTAACGCCGGCCATGTAAGTAACAAAAATATGTATTTTTTTCTATACTCAAATTCAAAATACATTGATTGTTTATTTAACATAGGAATACAACACATCTGATTAATTTAATTATTAATTAATCTGATTAATTTTAAACTAAATTGTTAAAGTATTTTTGTTAAAGTAGCTCTAGTTCAAAATACATAACATTGATTGATCACTAGATCTTTGGCTTTTAGGACAGTTTAAAAAAAATCATTTAAGACAAATTTTGTTTATATATTCTAATTAATAAGAAATTCATGGCTAGATTTTTGATTTTCAAATTTTCTGAACGTTTATAGTAAATACTTTGTTATTAACAATATAAGTAGGTACCACAATGTCACAATGTATCCTCAAATTGATAAACTCAGTAAAAGTTTTATACGTACTAATGTATCCAAATAATTGTTTAGGGGGTTACTAAAATAACAATCAACACACATTTGCTACCTATTACACACTTGTATTTTGCTACTACACAATGTGTCTGCAGTAGGTATGCTACAAACTACAACACACAAGAATAATAGACTCTGATATAAAATATAGTTAAAACTACAAATAGCTAGATAGTGATTTAATTTAATCCTTTATAAAAATCACTTAAATTATCAAATCGTGACAATAGTAAATGTATTCAGTTTAATTAAAATTAAATATATTTAGTAATTAAGATAACTACGACAAATTAACAGTTACTTTAAATTATAATAAAATATACCTTATAAATACTAAACGTATACAAAACTTTAAAAATAGTATACAATTATACACACGTAATTTTAAGTAAAAATTGTTTAAACATAACGTTGAGCCACACTGTTCGATTTATCTTCTACGCCACAATTCTACAAAAATATATATAATTTATTTGTAAATATAAATTATGAGTAGGTACCTATATTATATAGGTGTAGGTGTAATATGTTTTACATACTTCATCAATTTTTTCGCTCACACATTCGAACATTTCATAGGCAAGATCACATGTTTGTCCATCATCTAAAATAAAAATAAATAAAAAAGTTATTGATATAGTAGTAAAGTTATACACTGTATAATAATATTCCAATTAACCAAATTCAAATAACTACTTTTTTTTTTCTATTCTAAGCGCAATAAGGAATGTATTGGTTCAATTTATTATGATGGGTGATTTATTAGTTTGTGTTGTAAACAACGTTTCTACCAGAAATTTTGTTCCAATCAAAAAACGACAGAGACACTTTTTAGTGGAATTTTGTATTTGATATTATTTTGTAATTGATGTAATTATGGGGTGAGATTACTTGTTTTATTAAGTTACTTTTTAGTTTTCCTTATAGATTTTAAAATAATTTTGAAAAAACCGGACTAATTTGCGGGTTCCTGTATTTTCGGTTTTTTCTTTTTTAAACCAATTCTATTATAATTTATATGAAATTATAAAACACGATGAGATTACATAGATTTAAGATACATTTTCATCTAAATTAACTCTAATAAAACTTCTTAAATCTATGTCATGTGCTTTACAATCTCTTCTAATAGAATTGGTTAACTTCATGTATAAAGAATAGTCATGCATTCTATATATTCATAATTTTAATTTTATATTCAGTTACATATTATTATTTCATCCAATGCCACGACATGCCGTAGCCAGGGAGGCATTAGGGGGCATGCCTCCCACGATGGTTTTTTTTTCTTTTCATATTGTTGTAATGCAGTTTACATACATTCGTTATATTAATAAAATGTATTAGTAGTTCTAATATTTAGTATAAATTATATTGTTTTATATTATATCGATACAAAAATATCGAGATGATTAATTTTAAAAAAGCTGGATAATAAAGCGATTTATTCATTTGTACACCTAGCTGCTTATCAATTTTGCCTAGATAGTTTTTTGTGCCTTTTGTAAAATTAAGTTTTAGGGACATGTTCTCTTATTACAATTAGTGATTCATATATTCTCTTACAAGGTTACAAACTATGTTTAAAATTTACGTTGTAAAACTAAGGGTGTATAAATAATAAGTGATAGAGGAATAAATGAGCCATAAAATAATAGGTGATAACTATTCTAACTTAACAAAAACTGGATAAAAAAAAAAAATGCTTCCCCCTCCCCCCCGAACATTTTTTCTGACTCTGGAACTGATTTCATAATTGTTGCTCTATTACCTGATGATGAACTTTTAACGATAATTTTTATGACACTCTAGTCTTTGTTTTGCTATTTAACAAACAGTTTATTTATTTATTTTACATAAGTATATTGCACAGATTTATAATTTAGATATATTGTTATTGTTTTATATTTTTGATATTTTATTGAATATTATTTTTTTTAAAAAAAAGGTTTTCTTTTTTAAATTTTTACATAAATATAGAAGTATAATTTATAAAATATATGTAAAAACATAAAATATGAAGGGAAAAAGCTTCAGTTTAAGTGTAAGTATAATAAATTTACAGAAAATATATAAAATATAATTATTTAAAATATGAATATAAAATAAAAATAGTGTACGATCGGAAAACTTTAATTTTGCAGGGTAAGTTCTTTTTCAAATTGTGTGTTGTATTGAATAGTTATAATTAACGATATCCAATAAAAAAAATATATTGATGAACGGTATCGTTTAAATCGTGAAAATTTGTTATTAAACTTTAAAAATTTTAATGTAATAAAAAAAATATACAAAAAAATATCTCTCATCTAATAATATTATATTGTAGTTATATATTATTATGTATTTTTAAATTTTGAGCATAACGAGAAATCTATTAGTTTTACAATTTATTTTAATAATTTTACGTAGAATTTGAAATTGTATAAGTACGTATTTACGTTCAGTTAAAAATCAGTGTTTTCAACTAAAAATTAGAGTATTTTATAATATATGAATGATAGTTGTGAACAACAACGAAACGCATTGGTACCTACATTATGTAAACTCACAATATGATACTATAAATTATGAACATAGGTAGGTACATTACAAATGCATGTATAAAAATGATGTCATAAAAACAATTTTGAATATTACTCAAATGTATTGAAGAATTGTTATTTTAGCTAAAATTATGACGTTTCAATTATTATATCTACTTTCTCTAGGTTTTGACATTCGTAATAAATATATTAAGTAGCTACCTACTTAATAGGGAATGTCAATTTTTATAGCAAAACATGAACATTGAATTTCAACAGTCATTCGTGTATAACAATATTATGAAATGTGTGTACTGTGAGTACTGATTTTGCTGAATATCTACAAATGTTTATAAAGTTTTGCGTCATTTTATTAGTTGATCAGGATTCGAGCTATATGATATATTATATATCATATAGCTTGTTTACACTAAATTGTGCTCCATAATGTAGCCACTCGGTAAGTAATATTCTATTTCAAACAGGTTTTAGAATTCCATATATTTATTTAAAGCTTAAGGTAGGTAAATAATAAGGTTTTTAAATAAATACAAAATAGTTATTCAATATTTATAAATATAAAACTTGAGTCTCCAAACATTAGGTAAATTATTATTTTAGATTTAATTTAGTCATCGATAGTATAGTTTAAACACGTAAAGAATTCTAATGAAATATTAAAATTTAGAATTTAATTTTTTTTTTTTAAGAACATATTTTATAACTGATAAGTTGGCCTCAGGACTTATCGCATCTAAAATTCACAAAAAGAGCTTAAAAAAGCACTGCAAAAAAAATACTAAAAAAATGGTAGAATGGTTTAAAAATTTCTTGTCTAAATTATGAAATACAATTTTCTAACACCATACAAATGATTACCAACATGTAATTTTATTCAAATAATACAGTAAGTATTATAAGAAAATAACTGGTTTAATAATTTGTATAGGGTTAAGAAATTGTATTTAATAAGTTAAAACCGTTAGAGGAGGGACATTTAAACACTTTTATCGTTTTGCCATTTTTTATAATAATATTTTGTACTTGCATATCTTGTTTTGCGCAGCCATAAAAAAAAAAAACGATACGTAGCTAGAAAGAAATTTGTTTCATTTTATGACAAAGACAAATCTGTAATTTTATGTTGCATGTAATTGCTTTGTGAGACATGTTTAGGTGTATTATACTTTTTAGGGACTTTTTTGCAAAATGTCACAACATTTATTAAAACGATAATCGTAAATGATTTCTGGAGCGCAATATATTCATGCATAATTCTATACATATAAGTTGGTATGTTAAAATAATTTTTATCAGACAATAATATTTATCAGCTATAGTATTGTATGTATAACAATACAACTATAGTGACAGATAAATACAATGTGCGTATACCTAACAATTCTATTACATTTATATTCTGTATCAAACATTAATATCTATATTTAACTCTGTATTTAATATTGTACATTTCAGGTAGTCTAGTTTTTAATCATAACACCGATTTTTTTATTATAACATATGATTAATAAGTTTTTTGACACATATAATTTGTTTTTATGTTTAACGTCTTAACAAAAAAAAAAAAATAAAAAAAAAAATGAAAGTATAATAATTACTATAAAATAACTAGTTTAAAACGGGTTACGATTATAATTATTTTTCCTTTTTAAATAGACCTATAAGTATATTATTTCAATTTTATTTTATTTGGGGCATGTGGTTTACGTAACTTATTGTGACTAAAATGGTAACACAATATAAATAGGTAAAACACGTATATATAATATGTGTATGTTTGTTTTAAACAATAATTGCAAGTACCTACCTTTACAGGTATATTATTGTTTTATAATCCATTATAATTAATAAAATGAATACCTACATAGTAATTTGTCTATTGTTTTATTTTAATAAATTATTTAAATTATCTAAATGGTTTATAATGAAATACTAACACAACTAAACATTATATTACATTCTGATGATTTGTTATACATTGCCTTGTCCTTTTTGTTTTTATTTTTTAAAATAAATTGTTTAGATATTAAATATTAAAACAAAATAATTAGGGACCTTTTAATAGTTCGTAGTGCTAAATACAATATAAAATGCTGCTAGAAAATAATTCAATTTTGTTGAAATGAAAATGTTTGATGTTTTGTGTTATACTCGTATTGTTGTTTTACTATTATATAGAAAACGAGTTCCTAAAAAATGTTTACATTTTTCTATTAGACACGAACGACAATCATTTAGAGTAATTCGCTCACAGATTTAAAAAAACAATTTTAAATCGGATTTCTAGTAGGTTAAACGCCCTCGATATTTTTGAAAATATTAATAATAATTACCAAATTTTTGAGAGGGCTGTTGCTGTTTTAGCTGTTCTGCAATGGATATGCAATGTCTCACTGCGGTTAAAGTGGCTATGTAGTAATTTCTGTCCTGGACTCCTTCGTTGTACAGTTTCATTAGGCCATCGGCCACCGGAAAGCCAGTTTCATCAACCTAAATAAAACACACATAATATAATAATAATAACACGGACCAATTAGCCGATTCATTCTGTAGGACGACAGACGCAATGAACACTAGGTACTCAACTGCTTTCACTTTCTTGTAAACGCACTGGAGCAAACACTGAAAACAATAATTATTATCTATTAGACTGGTTCATAGGTAATATTATTATTTATACATTTTACGCGCAGAAATATGCAATGGGATAAGTTCATAGTCATTTTTATTTGAATGACCAAGACTGTTTGGAACAGGTTTTAGTTGTGCAATAAGTGAAGGTTTTATATTCTTTGATATATTATCTTACTCGACAGATTAAGCATAAGATAAAATATATGACTATGTATAATCATAATATAATGTGGCTTCTATAATATAACTGATCAATAAAAGTACACACCATCAAACGGTTGCAACTTCCTTCCGGTCATTAAACACTGTTAGGTAATAGTGTTAACACTTTTACTGATTTTAAAGTCTATAACATTGTATTTGTATACAATATACGTATAGTACAGAAATAAATTTATTAAATTTAGTATTGTTTTTTGATCTATATATTCGTAATAACTCTTCGGCTTCAAATCTAACAGACTTAATATGTGAATATATAGTTAATATAACATGAAGAAACGGTATAAAACATTAAAAACTAGAGGTCTCAATTTAAAACGTGAATTAATAAGTAAGTAATACACGGAGTCCGTGTATACACGGTTTAAAAATTCGTATTCACATATAATTATTACACGTGAATGTTTTAGTGTTATTCACGCATTCACGGATATTAAGCGATCGTAATGTAGTACCTACGTACTACGGTGCGAATATAAATGGGGAATGACCGGCCTTTACGTATTGCCGATATCGAGTCGATAAATTGATTATTATACGTTAGGAATTCGTTAGGTATACTGGTTTAGTTGTTTATAGTAAAATACGTGAATATGTGAGTAAATTTACACGGATTTATCAAATTCACGGTTTTATAGAAACGAACGTTAATTTTACGTGAACACGTGAAATAGTGGGCTCTATTAAACACCAATATCAGTGATTATCAACTTATTGACGATTAAATATTAAACCTTTACGACATTGGAAAAAAAAATGGCTTAACAATTATTCTTATTATTTGTGTAATAAGTAGGTTAAAGTTTGTTTTAATTTGTATTTCTTAACATCCCATTTACACAGAATACGTAGTCGATTTTATCTATTATACTCAATTATTTTTATTTTTACAATATACTAACGCTCTCCCCAAATTAAATTTAAATGATTATTATAATATAATTAAATATATATATATATATATATATCTGACTGAGGTGGTACTTTAAAGAGGTTATTTTTAATTTCCCCAGGAGTTTTCATAATAAAGAAAAAAGACGGAAAAACATTGCACGTGAGTGACGTTCACTGTTGTTGGTGAAAAGTTGGAAAGATAGAAAGGAAATTTAATGTATATCTGTATACAATGATTAACCATTGCTAACGAAAAACGATTCTGAGCGGAGTTCGGTTAATTGTGTTGCTTTGTCAACAATACATATTTTATATTAAAGTAAAATATTTACATATGCATTATATATTTTCTTAAATAATATTTGTTTAATATTGTACCTATTTTCCCATTGTTCCTACGTTTTTTCCTGGGTTACCCATGCTTTTTCCATGTATTATGAAAACTCCTGGGGAAATTAAAAATAACCTCTTTAAAGTACCACCTCAGTCAGATATCCTTTTAGAAAAAGTACTATTATTGTAAATGAGAATACAATTTCTGGTAGACAAGTTGTCCATAACAAAAAAAATAAAATAAAAATCATTGTAAAACCAATACATTCTTCGCTCCACTCAGAATCTAAAATAGATGTGGGTATAATTAAATAAGTTTGATAAAAAAAATGTTGTATAATATTTTAAAAAAAATGTGTGTCTATAATATTTGCATTAATGTATTACTTAAAACATTAAACGTAATTTAAATAAACAAACCAAATAGCCTAACTATAATTAATTTTCGGTTATTCTTAAATTTATACTAATTTGATTAAATGCAAATTGTTTAGCTGGTACTTACATTCCATAAAATTAACTACAATGGAAAAATTATTTTATTCATTACATAAAAATAATTATAATGGACAAATTATTTTATTCATTACAACGTTATACTTATAAGCGTTTAGTTTCAGAGAAAAAAAAATGAACATACTTTGCACGATGGTTGGGCCAATGTTGTGGTTGAGAAGTTGGGAATGTAGGATATAGAGGGAAATTTAATGTTTATATATATGCAATGGTTATTCAATGCAAACGAGAAAAGATTCTGAGCGTACTTCGGTTATAAATAAAATGCCGAAATATTTACGATTTTCGTCAAAATTTAATATTAAAATACTTATAAAAAAATTTCTACATTACACACAATTTTTTTTCGCTCAAAGTATGACTTATAATGAATCTGTTAAATTTTCAAGCAGTTCTGTTTGGTGTAACAGTGTTATCTACTAAGTACCTACCGAATAAAAGTTACGTAAAAAACTAGCAAAATTATAATGTCTATAAAAAGCTAAAAAAGCCTTAAATATGTTGAAAATTTTACCACATCTAGAAAAGGCAAATATAAGTTTTTATAAATTTCAAGTTTCTACAAATATTTTTAACTGATTCAAAACAAAAAAAAAAAAATAAAATTTAAAATAAGATATTTCGTAAATTTCTCTCTTTTTCGAATGTTTAATTCCAGTTTTTCCGAATTATTATGAAAACCGCTTAGAAAATCAAGAAATGACTTGTACCATCCAGATAAAGTTTCTTTTAGAAAAGGTACTATGCTTAAACATCTGAGTAAGGTTTCTAGTTGAAAATTGTTTACAGATAAAAAAAAAAAAATTTAAATACAAGTAAATATCATTGTAAAATCAATGCATTCCTCTCTTTGCTCAGAATCTAAAATAATGTCTATTACAATATATTATATACACAGGTATGCAATTCGATACATACCTGTAATGTGACTAAAAATGAAAAGAACCAGATTAACATACCCCAGCAACTCTACGTTCTTCATTTGTCAAATCTTCGTCGACCTCTCTTTTTGATCTGTTTTCGTTTGGTTTATTTTGTTCCAAAGCGTCGTCATTAAGGATATCCAAGGCTTCTGTAAATTAATATTTGAATTGAAAAATCATATTATATTTACGAACAAATTACCTATTTATTTACCTTGAAGTAATGCGGCTTTTATTTCTTCTTGGCAGACATTAATAATTAGTTCGAGGTTCGTTGGTGCTTTATCGGGAGCTCTACATTTTCCGGACAGCTTTGTTTATTATAAATAATATAAAAAAAAAAAAACATATAATAATATGTTTTTAATACACGAACGTTGTAATAAATACAAATTAAAAGTAGTTAGTTACTTACTTCTTTATTTTGACAATATATTTCGTTTAAGCCAAATCCCAAAAGTAGGAAAATAATTGAAAAATAGTGTCCACGCATTTTTAATTATATCTATATAGGTAGATCGCTACACTGTAGAATAACCGCGAATATTATTATTACTTGTAAGACGTAGGTATATTAAAATATTGATATTAAACAAAAAAAAAATTATGTATAAATATAAAATTTTTTTTTTATAAAAACAGAGTATCAGGTACTAGACGGACGGTGTTGCCGTTATTAAATGTATAATTCAAATAAGAGCTCGTTCAACGCACACGACCACTTTCTTCCCGGCAAGTGCAAGTGTGAGTGGCTTTATATTAATTATGTCATCGGAGTATACTGTATTATGTGCGTTCATCACTATGAAAAACCGGTAATAGAAAACTCATGCTAACCACAGTCCATAACGAGATCATTATACACACAAACATTCATGTATATTATTATTGTATATACACAATGCACAGTATGGACTTACACGCCTGCCTATGTCCTAACCATAAATTCAGGTTATTTTGATTGGGCCATCGTATATATACATTATATTCGATGTACGAATATTTTTATGAATTATTATAACTACGACCTTAGATGATTAAAATCAACGTATATCAAAATAATAATATTATCTTTTAACTTATAAATTATTAATATTTATGATTTGATGCAAAACACGGTTATTGTTGTTATTAGTATCACGGTTGTATCTAAGTTTATCTATATGTAGGTTTGTAGAAAAGTAACGATTATGTTATTCATGTATATAAGAAAATAATTTTTAACATTTAGTTTATTTATTATTAGGTTTTTTACCTATATTAGGTAAAAATAATATATAATAAATATTTTTGACTAACTACAACTTCGATAATATGCGTTATTTTAGGCAAGGAAAATATACAATACGTTTAAGGGGTCACAGTGAGTTAATTTTTTTTGAAAAAAACGAGCTTTTCAGGAAAAACTTATACCTTGATCATCTTTATTTTTTCGAAAAGAGAAAGAATTTTTACAAGGTGCATAGCACGTGTATTTTTAAAAATGTATTCCTAAATATTATATAGTACACAATAGTATTAATAGTTTAAAACTTATTTATTTTTTACTCATTTCTTTTTTTTGTGATTTTTGATTACACAATCAAAATGCACCCTGTAAGGAACTTTTTTCTTTTTAACCAAAAAAAAAAAAAAAAAATGTACTTAATTGGATTACTTTAACATTGAAAATATTTTCCTGTAAAACACATTTTTAGCGAAAAAACCCCAAATTGTGCGCAGATTCTTTAATATAAAAAATTAAAACTAACCGAATTATCTGTTTAGAATTGTTTAGACTTGTTAATTGTAAATGTTAAAATTTTTTTAAAAAACCACGAATATGTAACCTAATGCAGGTCATTAAAATAACAGTATAAACCTGGTGTTATAAACTAAGATACATATTGCATAATCAAGAACACATACAAATTTTTAAGTATTAAAATAAAATAAAATATAATTTATTTATATTTATTTTATCTTGTATTTTTTTTTTTATAGAATATTTCATTTTATAAGTTTGATGTACAAAGTATTGTAACGATTCGAAAAATAAAAAAATTGTATAAGATTTTAACATTAAGTACTGATTATTAACACACAATGGAGATAATCAGTGAAAGGAAACAATGAGTGGTAGATATTATCATGGATTGCATGAATAAATATTTCACATTATTTAGCTTTAAACATTCAGGTAATTGTTGGAAATATTTTAAGTATAAATCCTTCATAACAAAATGTATAAATATATATTTGTTAGTTGGAATTATTAAAAGTAAATTGTAATTTGAATGACCTAGAATTGAATGTAAAAATATTAACACAGGAATTTGATTTACCATTTAATACAATTAGTGGTCATGTGAAGAATCTTAAAATTGATATACCGTGGTAATGTTGACAAATACAGTAATTGAAATTGAAACTATTGGTAATCAGTAATCACTAATCCATTGCATTTTATTTTATTTTTACTCAATGTATAGGAATTATTCAATGATAAGTTGTTTGTTATACGAATATTACCAAGTGGTGAGTTTTAATTTATTACCTACTATTTTATCCTTTAACTTTGACATAGTGGAAACCAAGGACATGCCAAAAGGGGTGGTTTTAGGGTCTGGATCCAATCTTCCCTTATTTATTAAATAGAATAGAACTACAAGTTATTATGGTGAAAATTAATTAATAATGTTTTTATTTAAATAGTTGTACAATATGGCGTATGTACAATATTAATGCATGATAATACGATATTATTGATATCAAACAAAAATACGATAACCATTATATAGCTTGATTTTAAATTATTAAAAATTGTCAAATATATCTTTTTCTTCTTTTTCGTCCTCATCCCAACAATTTGGGGTCGATCACCCTTGTTCTTAACTACCCCTTGACTCAAACTCCTACCCCGCATACACTGGTCATCCTCATATCATTCTCAATCGCATCTAACCACCTCTTTTTGAGTCTTTCTCTCTCCTTCTTTCCTCCTACGTTTATTTTCATTGCAATTCTTACAACTACTGATTAGCAGCATGCTGTTACTTATAGACGTGTTAAAATTTTCAAAACATTTGATCTATTTTTGAGCTATTTATAGACATTTTAATTTTGCGAATTTATTTAATATAATATCTGATTCAGAAATAATTAAAAATTTAAGAGAAGGTTCATTACAAATTGTACTTAGTGGTCAATAAGAATGAATGAACACTAAATTTGATGTTCCAAGTCACATAATTGGACAAATAATATCAGATTTATCCCTTCGATTCCCAAATTTGTATTCATTACATTAAATTACATTATATAATAACAATATTTAATAGTAGTTATTTAATACTTTATTTTAATATTAATCAATACCTAAAATGTACATTTTAATAAGAGATAGCCAATTTTGTGATATTTTGTTGAATTTTATTTAATTATTTTTTTATTTAAAAATAAAGCAGTATGATTTAAATAAATATTTATATTATGGTTGTAATTAGATAATTTATTATATACCTCAACTTTTTAATTCTGATATAAAATCGACAATATTTTATAATTCTAAAAATAATTATTGGTAATGGATTTAACAATAATAATATTCATTTCAACAATATTTAAAGTTTCAATATTGATAGTGTTGTAAAATTGATAATTATAATTATTAATTTTGACAATTATGATTCATAGGTATAATAAAACTTAATTGTCAAATCAACAATGATAATTTATTAATTCAACGTTATCAGAATTTTCAACAATGAAATTGTCATATTGATACAAACATCATGTTGGCTCTATGTTAACAAGATTAACAATTTTTGTTTCGTTCAACAGTACCACGGAAAATGCCGAGTAAGACATTCTAGTATATACCATACATATGTATGTTAATATAATATAAATTGATATTATATTGATAAATATTGATTACATTGACCGCTATTGAACGAAAAAATAAATAGGTAGAAAATACATTTTTTTTCTACCCATGGGTAGTCCGAATTCGACAGATTAACCTAGATGTGTAACCTAGGTCATTTATAAATAAATAAATAATTTATACCAAATTATCGCCAATAACCACAACAATAGTAACTTCATTCAACGTCAGTGCATTGAAGCAGTGTTTTTCATGTTCGCCTGCTGGTCTTTTGTCTGCTCTGATCACTATTTTGTGATCATTCGAATGAATCAATTCTAGAGCAATCTTTAGTCTTAAACAATTCGACCAATTGGTTGTGTTCATGTAAGAATTGTAGTTGCCAAATAATTTCTTGATTTACTGCACAAATGATGACACAACGCTGATTGATTTCATCATCAGAATTTTCAAGGAAATACATCTGAAGAAATTTGTGATCTGAATTCACTGATGGCAACAGTTCTTTAATACGATGGTTAATTTGTCTTTTAAACTATACAATTCAAGATAAATTCCTCATTTATGAGTCTCTGTGAAACGTTTTGAATCGTTGATGTGGTTTTTTTTTGAATGTGATGCATTTTGCTGTCGAATAGGAATTTACCTTAAAAGTTGGGTTAAAATCTCATTCTACAATAATATTCACCCCAAATGATGTTATTTGGAAATAACTGTTATACTTTTGGATATTTTGTAAAAAAGGCTTTGATTGAGGTTCTTGGTCAGATAGCAATGATGCCTATAGTTCCGATAGTGGTGTAAATTGTGGTAATTTGACCTTTCCGCTCACATAACATAATCCTGATGGTTCATGTCGAAACCTCAAAGAATTGCAATGTTGGCGAACTGTGAACAGTGCTCATTGTTCCAAAGTCGACCGATACATCCACACCATATCTAAACGACTGTAGGATTGTATCTGAACGCCAAACGATCATTTCGAATTTTCACATTTAGCCGTCTGTTTTGTCGACGTTATTTCAAAATTATTTACGTAAGAGCCAACTGAGCGAATCGAACTCGACTATCTGTTGTTCCGGAGTCATAATGGATCGATTTAGAAAAAATTGTATTCAATTTACTAATGACGTGCCTAGGATTTATATCAATGGGAGGAGATGTAGCAAACAAGAAACGTGAATAATCTGTGAATTCGTCTTCTCTACCCAACGTGACTGTGGGAATTGGTAATTTAAAAGCCGGATCGTAAAAAAAGTCAAATTTATAATTAATACGTCAAGTTTTTCCTCAAAAACTTAAATAAAAATAAATATACATATATTTATTCCGAGAATAGATTACTTGATAACACGCTGTACTGTATCAGTTTTGATTTGATTTATTATTATTTTTTTTTTAAATTTTGATGGGGCGTATAATATATACCATATACACTAAATAAATACATAATAAAACTATTCATATAATATCTCCTACAGTTCCTATTTCTAAATATCATATTATTCTTAAGGAAAATAATTTGAAATAGGTTACCGAAAAACAACCGACCACAAATCAGTCATCATAATATAAGGATAAGGAGTTATTACTATGTTCTTTGATCAATATCATGTAAAAATGTAATTTTAAAAGTCATCAAAGAGGGTATAATTATTTGGATTGATGTAAGGTCGTTTACAATAACTCCCACCAATGGCGATTGGATTATAAATGCTGACGCAGGTACGCACGCACAAAAACATTTATAATAATATCCTAGACATTTTAATTGTCTAAATATGTCCATAAAATAATTTAATGGATGAAGTTTTAATTTCTAATTTGATGCTAAATAAATAACTTGTCACGAACATAATAACATTATACAACGATATTAATTATAATTTTCACTTTATTAAATAGGAAGCAATAAAAAAAAAAAAAAAGCTTAACTATAGTAATTTTGTACAATAAACATTATTATAGTGCTTATTTCTAATTAAAAATAAATATAAATATAATAAGCAAGAAAACGTAAAAATCAAAATTATCATTACAATTATTTTATTATATATACAGACATTTAATATTTTTTTACATTTATAAGGTTCTAAACTAATTAATTAAGTTATGTATTTTTAGTGGTTATATAGTTCCAGAATTTTAATGTTATCCTTAAATAACCAAGGAATACGTTTCTATTTTATATTAATTAATATAAGTAGGTACTTTAGAACATTTTCTGTAACATTCACCAAACGAATGGACTTTAATAAAAATTGACAGTATTATAATGGTCATTCCAATGAATAAAACTAATAAACATACAACATTATTTACAACCTATGGTGTAACATATGCCTTTAACACTTCGAATATGCTAAATGTATAATCATCTAATTAACTTAGACTCTCTTTGGTCCAAACAGATAGGTTTGTTTAGTTCAAAAATAAAAATGTCCATCATAGAATCACAGATGATAAAGATAATGGAGTCATTGAACTTAATAAAACACTATGAATCTGTCAAGAAAAACGAAACTATGATTACCATTTTCAATTAAATACTTTCCCGATTTCACCAACTTCAAATAAATCAATACATTTAGTAATAGAATGTATCTACAAAAATCCATTTTCATGTAGGTACTCATATACTTTATACCTACATATATTTTTGATTCTGAGTGTAGCAAAGAATGTATTGATTTTATTAAGATGTTTACATTTTTTCTTTTTTTTTTTTATACTGTGTACAAAAATTCTACCAGAAATCTTATTCAGATATGTACGCGTGGCATTATTTCTGAAAGGGAATGTTGTCCTGATGGTACTTATGTGAGATTATTTTTTAATTTTATAAGCGGTTTTCATAATATCTGGGAAAAACCAGGATAAAACATGAAAAACAGGAAATTTACGAAAATAATGCTTTTATTATTTTTTAATTTTGTTATTTGTCGTAATTCAATTAAAAATATTCGTTGTTTTATTAAATTTGAATAGAAAACTTATATTTGCCTTTTCTAGACGTGGTAAAATTTTCAAAAAATTTAATCCATTTTTAAGTTGTTTATAAACATTTTAATTCTGCGAGTTTTGTACGTAATTTTTATTCTGTACATTATGGTAAAATTGTTAGACTTAATAGAAATGCTTAAAAATTTAACAGAAGGTTCATTAAGAATCTTACTTTGTGGTCAAAAAAAGAAAATTTAAATTTAATGTAGTATTTTTTTTATAAAGGAATTTTAATATCAAATCGTTGAGTAAAAAATTATCTGGAAAAAATCTAATTTTTCAATTTTTTTTTTTTGGAACATATGTGTATTGCCGATTTAAGAATGATGGTGAAGTCAGAATTAAGCGGACTGACTAAGTTTCGAAATTATAGCTTTTTAAATTTACGATATTATACATATATTATATGTTATGTTAAATAACTAAATATTGTCTGTTTCATTATTGTCTACCTGTTTACATTTTAGGGTTCGCGAGTTCGAACCCGTGTTTCAAAAACAATTTTGGAAGTACGTAGAGACCCAAGCCATCACTCCCTTGGACTATTTTAATCGAAAAATACCCCTCGATTTGTTGAGCAAACTTTTCTAACAGAAATCTTGCTCCGATGTATTAAGTGTAGCTTATTTTATGAAAGTAAACTTAATAATTTAGGGAGGTCATTTTTTGATTTTTCAAGCGGTTTTCATAATATCTGGGAAAAACCGGGATAAAATTTTGGAAAAACAGAAAATGTACGAAATGTAGGTATTAGTAAAAAAATATTATAGCCTTTTTTTCTATGTGCAACTTTTCTACCAGCAATTTCGCTCCGATTTAAAATGATAATACTTTTTCTGAAAGTTTGACTGGGAAGGTACTTTTGGGAGATAATTTTTTAATTTTTCCAATAAATTGGAAAAGTCGTGAAAGTCTTGGAAAAACGGGAAAATCGGTACATCATTAAACAAATATTATTAAAGAAAATACAAAATGCCTGTTTAATTATTTTACCATAATATAACATACATTTTGTTAACAAAGCATCAATATCAACTAAAATGCGATCAGAATCGTTTAACAATGGTTTAGTGTTGCTTACAGATATACATTAAATTACCTATAATAGTGGCTACACCTGTCTCCATTATCTGAGGACGTCTTTTTATTATTATTTCTATAGGTATTTATTTTTAGTGTATTTTATAAAAAAATTTTATGTTCAATCACTGATTTTAACCAAATGCATATATATTTTTTTTTATTTTGGTATAATACATATTTAACTTGTTATTAATTTTTGTTTTATAACTTACAAGATGTACAAATAAAAATTATACGTCAATATTTGTATAGGTAAATAATACCATCGATTATATTTTATACAATAGTAATATCTCGCCTTTATGAACGTGTTCATTAACAACAGTTCAAAAATCGATGATTGTTTTTGCATTGGAACAAATTATTAAAAATCATAATAAATCATTATTTAAAAATAATGTAATACTTACCTAGTTTTCAGTGAATATAATCACACATTTTTAATCTCTTTCTGAAAAGTTAATGACACTCTACAATCTCCAGATTTGTTGACAATTTTTTAGAAAATATAATTAATGCACTTATTCGGACGTACAACTTAATACAAATGACTGTGCAATGAAATCTAATATGAATACGGAAGACAATAAAAGTATAATATGTTATATTGTCAACAGATATCACACTTATTTACTATTATTAAATAAATTATGGGTTTTCAATTAAATAGGAATACAATTACTATACCTATCAATCACTTTGTCGACTAAAGTACCTGCTTATATTTTCTGAAAGGATTAATAATTATTGAATCAAAAAAAAAGCATATTGGGTATTGTTTCATACAATTAGATACCATCAATACAATTCAAATTACTTTATGCAACCACTCAAATATACACTCTTATAGTAATCTTGAGTCTTTCAATCTCCTAAATGTATGGGTCATCTCCTCCTCCTCCAATACTCTGATATATTCAGTCAAATTAAATCTTAAACATTCTCTTTGATGTATCAAATCAAATTTCTCAGTACTCTATGACATAATTCACATTATTTTTGTTTACATTTCCTTATTATTTTCGTTTCAACTTTATACAATCACTTTTTACATGTCCCCTTCTCTGAGAATTAACAACCTACAATTTTAACTCATTTATTCATATTGTGAAACTTTATTACTGCACCTAAAGAAATCCAACAAGAAGGCCAAAGCCAATACACTTTAATTACAAGACCTTATGAAAGAGTATAATTCTTTTGTTAATGTTTGATAATTACGTCTTGCAAACATAAGACACAACAAATATTTCTTCAAGAAGTTTCTATAGCATTTACTAATTATTACAAGATTCAGATATAAGATGACAAAGTAAGGTATAAATTTGTTTTTTACAACTCAGGTTTCAAATATGAAATTTTATACTGCTGTTTTTTTACATATTTGAAATATTTTAGATTTGTATTTCTATTTCAAGTTTAGGTGCTATATTTTGCTAATAAACAATATATAACAATTTATTTTATATTTTTCATAAATAACTTCTTATTGGTTGTATTTATATATTTTTGTCTAGAATATTCTGTCTTATGTATTTCAAGTTTTTTACTATGTTAACAAAAGAAAAAATTTAAAAAAACAATAAAAAAAACTTAGGTATCTCTTGCTATTTTTTAGGTTTTTATAGAATATTATATTTTAAGTTATTTTTAGTGCTTTAAAAACGATCCTTGATAATAATAATCAATCAAAGACTAGAACTGCACTCTTCTATCCTGTCCATAAAAAATTATGATTCGGTTATTGTTGCCATACATAGAAATTTCGCTATGAGCACCCCATATGTGTGCACCCAACAATATTGCAACAACTGATAAAAACAATACAGAACAGTTGAACATTAAAATTGAAATTGTATGAAAATTTAGTTTTATGAATATTAAACAAACTAAATGAGACAGAATACAGATGCATCGTACCAGGATGTAAATCTTTTCAAATATGTAATACTGAAACCAAAAAAAAGAAAATTTGATCAAAAAAAAAAATTTCAAAGTTTAGATTAAGTTAGACATTATTTAAACTTATACACACAGTACATACTACATACATTTTTTTTTTCTTTAAGATTAAATTTACAATTATTTTGTATTTATTTTTATTTTTACTTCACTACATTCATGTTATATTTTCAATATATTCAATATTTTCAATACATTCAATATATTAATTTGAATGTACCAATTGTTATATTTTCACACAAATTAAGATATATTCTGCGATGTAGTAGTAAGTGTGGTTAAAAATGTTTTCAAATAAAACAATTACTAACGAGAATAGTATTTTCTGATTTTATTTCTGGTACATATAGTTTTGAATAAAAAAATAAATTAATGCTTCAATACAATAGTTTATGTTTTGTAGACATTTTTTCAATTATACACCTATTCGTTTTATTATCTAATTTATTAATAAATGCCTTTATTATATCATACCATGCCTATATTAATAAAATAGTTCATTTTATCCTAGTCTGGATTAATTATTTTAGATATTAATAACTACATATTCAATTAATTATTAAATACAACATATTATGCTACATACTAAAAAAATAAACTGCTGTTTTTATTTTTAAGAAAAAATTGGTTTTTTAATTTTTGATTTGATTTATTTTTAATGAGTATTTACAATATATAATTGCAATATGTTTTACCATATTTTCTAATGAACCTATCTATAATGAAAATATGTAATAAATATTATAAATTATTATTACTTAACCTTCACAAAACAACTGCATCAGACTACTATAATAATATATTCAATATTATGATTTATGAAAGTATGACAATAATTATTAAAATGCTTACATTATCCTATTCCCGAATTTCAATTATTATTTATTATAATAATTACTCCCATTTTATTTGAATATGTGAAAATATATTAATTTTACAATTGTAATTTACTGTGCATCATGATATAATTAATTATATCACACAGAACAACTTCAAGTTAGCAAATTTAAAAGCATTCTCTTATACCTGATTATATTTATGTGCACTGAAAGCTAATATAAGATTTATATAGTTCCTTCTAGGCCGTATATGTGAATACTGCACAATTTTAAAGAACATACATTACATTCTTTATAAATATTACTGGTGTTCCTAATGTAATTCTATTAATAAAAATAGATTTTTTTATTGGAGATTTAATATTGTTTGTACATAGTTACCGAGATTGTTTGGATTTGTATCAATAAATTATAACAACTGTTTTAAATAACATAAATTCATTGAAATTTTGGCTTATCAAACACCCAACTTATGGTCTCGGAAGATTCCAATTAGATTTTTGAGTGTTATCCATATTGAAACAATTTTCATAGTAATGAAAAAGTGAATTAACCTAAACAAGGTTTGCCTAATTAGGTTGCCTAATGTTTTGAAAAATGTGTTTTACATCATAAATTTAATAATATTTTCTATAGTGATATTTTTATTTGAAATCAATAATATGATAATTGTTGATCAAACTAAAATTATATATTACTAACACATATTATACTCATTGGAATTGTTTTATTATTGGAAACTTTATGAGATGCGAATAATAACAAATTGAAACTTACACAAATCAAACAGAGAAATGGAGCATGTAAAATTGTAAATTTAATTTTATAAAACTAATTTGTGTAATAGAAAATTCTGAAACAAATTTTCACACTAAAATAATACAGTTTACGTTAATTTATTAGTTTCCTACTGCTAAAACCAATGCTTCAGCTACTTCAACAGCAATTGCGGCTTCTGCTTTGGCAACATCACCTGAAGCAGTAGATAATTGACTCTGGGCCTCTTGTAGTACTTGACGGGCGGCTGATCCATCAATGTCTTCAATAGGGTGTGCTTCTTCAGCCAAAACTTGTACACTAGAGTCTTCATTTACAGTTATCTAAAAACAACACATTTCCATTAGTAATTACTAATAAATTAAATGCAGATGATTAATTACCGTTCCGCTAGAGACAAATATTTTTTTTGAAATTCCTTCTTCTTCATATACAGTAACAACACCAGGGCGGAGAACGGCCAATGTTGGTACATGATTAGGTAAGATACCAAAGGAACCACTGAAAGACGGAACATCTACTTGCTTAACATTTTTTTCGGCATAAAAAATCTAGAAAAATTAAAATTTTTCATCTAGGTTATAAAATAAAGTAAATCAAATAGTATACACAACCAGATAAATTGATTATAGAAACAAAATAAAAATTAATGTATTGAACTTTACTTGATTGGCAGCAGCAAATGTAAAGCTCATTTGATCAGCGTAATTTCTTGAAAAACATTTAGTCATTCCTTGGTTAAGCCGGGCGGCTAATTTGGTGGATCGTACGAATAATGCCATTATTACTAAAATTAATAATGACAATTTATGTTTTCTTTCTAAGGCTAATTGCTTATAACAATATTATACTTACAGTTTTTTTTGAATGTAACGTCTACGAAAAAACTCAAATAATGTGGTAAAAATGTAAAATTACAGTTTAGAAAATCGTAAAATGACCTCTGTCCAGTAAGTATAGATGTTGATATTGATAAAAAAATGATAGTGTATAAACAGCTGTTCCACGAACTACAGTCTGATCATTTTGTTGGAAATAATGGACAATTTCCAAGGACATTATAACTTTTCGGGAATAGTTTCATCTTATCTTTATTCTATAACCGAAATCATGGTCTTCATGCTTACCTCGGTCTTAAATTATTAGGACTGGCAACTTGGTAATGAAATCCGTATTCCTAATGAACGGACAGGGAATAGTGATGCACACGTGTCACTATTTAGCGGATTAATGTTTGTAATTGTTATTGATTAAGCTCATTTTATAGCTGTAATATTGTAAAACCAATACATTTATCTCTCCGCCTAAATTTAAATCATGAACAAATATTTCGCCAAAAGTTATAAACTTATAAAAACAAAATTACCTGTATAGTTAAGTAATTTAACTCAAACGATACCTATACTATTCAAAATGTAAGTTATTATGTTCTTTATTTTTTACTTATATAGTAAAAACTCCAGTTGTTTGTTGTTTTAGACTTTGCTACTTTTAGTCCACGTCATATAATCGTGTCAAAGATCTAATTCTAAAAAAATAATTTAAATAGATTGTGTAATTATTTATTATTAGATAATATCATTGACATTAAACTTATAGATCGTCATACATTGTTGATAGATGGCAGTACTAGTATATTAGAGTTCCCCAATAAAATCACGGATGATTGCATGTTAATCTCATCGAGTTGCATAAGGCTGATGTTTACAGACAGAGCGGTTCAACCGCCAGAAAATTTAACACTCGTGATTAAACGTTATCATCCATACAAGTATACGGCAGCGGTCGATAGGCCTTATTTTAATTATATTTATATTTGATTGAATTCAATTTTAGGTATTGTATTTGCTCAGTTAGTCATAAAAGCAATATCACTACTAGAGAAAATTGGTGCTAGAATTATTGATGGGACTGAATTCAGATGAACAGAAAAATTTGGACCGAATTGGTATTTACTGGTAATAAAATTCATAAAACTACATTATTCACCCAATGAATGATACTCTAACACTTTATATGTTTTCTGATGCTCTCATTTAGTTAAATATGTAAGAAATAGACTATGAGAAAAACCTTAAGAGGTAAAGTAATCATTGAAGTCTATTTAAAATTGTATTTTCTGTTCAATATTATAGTCCAGTAACTATGGTAGCATAGTGTCCAGTACAGTATAACTTAATCCGTGCAACGGTATAATCACAAATAAAATGAAATTATCCTGTGATATAATGGTATTTAAAGAGAACACACGGTCTAAGATTATTAGGTATGGCAACTAATGCCCGGATGTAATGCTCTTATTGTCGGGGACCGCTTTGGTAGTATCATAATTCATCATAATATTATTATTTTGATGATTGATTGTTGACTGAAAAGATTTAATATAGAGTAAGGACTGTGGTTTAACAATCCATTGACCATTATCAGCATTATTTGACTCATAATAATCTGATATTGTTAATATTATGATTATTAAATAACGCCAAAATACACAATATAAAGACCCGCACTGGCGCATTGTTCTTTTAAAAGTCCAAAAGTAATTAAATACTAACTTTACTTATTTTGTTTTGTTTAAATATTTTTTTTTATTTTCAAAATATAATTTTCCTAGGTATTTATTAAAATGACTCGAAATTGATGTATATATAATTGTAAAATTACTGAAGTACATTAATTTCGTGCAACACAAAATCATCTGGAAAGTTAGCGAGTGGCTTTATGTAAAGTTTTAAAAATTGGGGATAGAATATATCTATCACATTTTTCCAAAGAATTTTTGAAAAAAATAAGACATTATAGATATAAAATCTAATAGAATAACAACAGTGAGTTTATGCACCTACTAGTATTGTTGCATAGGTATATAATTAGTTGTACAATAGTTTTTGTACTTCTAAAATAATAATATTTAACATATAACAATGTTAACACTTACACACCTATTACATATTGCACATATAAACATACTTATTACTCAGTTAGTTAATTTCACTTACATAGAGTACCTATTTTAAATTTAATGAGATTTAATTCATTCAGATTGATAATTTTATCTAAAAAGGTTTTTTTTAAATATTTTTAATTATAAATTAAAAAAATATTTGAATTTCATTAATATTTAGGCATATTAAAAAAATGGAATTATGCCTATACTTCTTAAAATGTTAAATTCCATGCTAAAGAAAAAATGTTTACCTATCGTGTCTATATTCTACCTTTGTATAAGTAATAAATTATTAAAATAAAAATGACTGCTAGAGTGCGCCACCTAAGTGATCCTAGACAATAATAAGAGCAATACTTGTTAGTGTAAATTGGTTGGTGAGTTGCATAGGCTCATAGAGTTATAAGAATGATTAATAATAATAACAGACCGAAAGTCTAACTTCTGTAGGTGATCGATAAAAATCGACAAAGTAAAAAAACGTCAAATATATTTTACTATGAAATCACAAATGTTAATTGTTAATTGTAGGCTGTTAATCAAAATATCAAATATCTTCCGTCATATGGCAATGTATTTTAAAAGCAGTTTTTTATTTTCGGGGTGCTGTATTATTTTTAAATAGTAGGTAATAATATTTATTTTTTCTGTGTCGATTTTCTTCTAGATTCTTTCTATACCTACCTATACATTTTATATTTGTAATATGTGAGTACTAAATACTACTTTATTTAATTTTATTGTGATATTGTTGCTCCAGACAAAGTGATTATGAATCCCAATTTTGTGTGCAAAATCACGTCTGATAGTATTTTATTTCACGTGTTCAGTATGTTAATATGCGACAGGGACGGGTTTCAAAAACAGTACTATAATTAAATAATTTTTCAAACGAGTGCTATTCACCGAGTATTATAGAAATAGGTAACTTTATCGGTTATTTTGGCTAAATTATAAGTTATTTAGCTATGTTATAATGTATCTCTAAATTGCTCACGTATACGTTATAGTATGACTGACTACTAGAGAGCGTTGTACGTTAGTAAAATCTACGGGTATATAATTCAGGTGCTTAAAATTTTTTGCTCAATTTTATGTATCTGTGGATCATGGTAAAATCGCATGACTATTTTGTCTCTTTATCACGCAAACATTCTATCTAAAATTGTGTTGATGACGCCAATAGATTAGCCTCTAAACATTTCTCCCGACTTAAGATCAAAACAAGTATTGCAACCGCAACACCTCACATATAAATTTTGGTTTAACTGAATACGCAACTACTATTAGGTACGTCTGTATATTCAGACTTTTGAATTAATTTAATTAAAGCTAATTTACAACATTTTAATACATATTTATGTTCATAAAAAACATAATAATTTCTGACTTTTGAAGTTTGTATTTATTTTTCAGTATTATTACAATTTATCATAAATTTAATGTGAATTTGGTATCATAGATTTAATGAAAATTATATATTTAATTTATGGGCATATCTGCTTACTTTGTTTTTATTGCAAATGAAACATATCTCCAAGATTTATCAACTGAAGAAATTGTGAACGAACTAAACGAATATTATGAAAATTCTAAACGGAAGAAGATTTTGTAAGCATCGAGAATACCTAAACTGAAAATTATAAAAATTAAAATATTAAAACAATGAGTAAGTAATTAATAAAAAAAAACACTTTACTGTATGATGGTAAGTATAATATTATGTTGTAGTGATTAATAATTAAATAAGCGACTTTTTCACTTTTTCAGACATATATGCGCTGAATATTTTTCATACTTGAGGCAAAACAAAAAAATTCAGACCCACCAAATTAAAACATGGATTTTTACACGTACTACACAAAATTACAGCAACAACTATTTAGCTATGTTGACTACATAATATAGGTAAGCTATTTTATTCGTAATACTGTAGATACTTATATTAATAATATAATATACAAAATTAAAGGCATCTCTAATCTCTGAACTAGTCAAAAATCTTAATCAACATTCAACATATTTGGTCGGCCCATCCATTTTAGTTATGAGACAACTGCCTCAATAAAACATTTTGGCATGCCACTGCCTATATGTATAGGGAACTAATATACAAACTATATTTGTATAGATACAATGCATTAATATTATCATCATTATCAGTCAATAAACAAAAATTCAGAAAATGCTTTTTTTTCACCATTCAACAGCGTAAAAATCCACTTTTAAAATAAATTTTTAAATGTGGTAATATATTCATAGTCGAATAATCAATATGTCATAATATAAGTATTATTAACTACCATGTGCGAGCAACAATTATCCAACACTGTCATATTCAGTTTGTGTTTTTGGCGTTTCTGATATTAATAACCAATTTATTTACTAAATAATGTTTCTACCTAATACAATGTTATTAATTTATTTTAAAATATGAAATATATATTTTACTTTTGAAAATGTCAAACTAAAACGATTCTGACGGGAATTCAGTTAATAATGATGCTTTGTCAACAATATATATATATATATATATGTTATGTTATGGTAAAACAATTAAAAAGACCGGGTTTGGCGGACTTTGACAACATTGGACAACAAAAAACATTTGCGGTCAGAAATTTCATTTTATAGTGAATTTTGTTGCTGATTTTGAATCTGGTCTAAGATTTGTACGATTTACTTTTGTATTTGAGATAATCATTTATTCGTAAAAAATCAAAAATTACATAGGTAGGTAGTTAAATTCTAAGAAAAAAAAAATAATTATTATTAATACAAAATGTTTGTGCTATTAAAGTTGTGCAAAATTTGGGGTTTATATGTCAATTTTAATCTGTTTTTCCAGTGCTTTAAAATTAAGTTTGATAGTTATTTATCAAAAAACTTTTTACTATAGCTTTTTTTTAAATTTTAATTCACAATTACAACCATTAAAAAGCAAAGCTTATGAGAATTTTTGAAATATCATCATTGTTTGCTACGCTATTATGAGTTGATATAATTGCCGTCAATAAAAAATATGTGAAATTCTTAAAAATTTTCTATCAATTTAGGTACTGTATTTTTTTTTATTAACATTAATTATAAACAACTTTTTCTAAATTATTTCCATCTGTATGTTTAGTTTCAACAATCTCTATTCCCTTTGTGTGGTCCAAGAATTGTCGGCTATTATATGACTACCCTAAAATTAGATAGGTCAATTATTGTCCTTGATAACTTTTTTTATAGTCCTTGTTATATCTTAATGAAACCTTTGTCCTTTTTCCTCGCTAGAGTCACCTAAGTTATCAGGAAATTTGTCCGAATATCTATGTAAATAATGTAATTTAATGCTCATATTAGCTCCTTGGGCTATAAAATATACATGATATATTAGTTTTTTGATAAAAAAAAACTATTATACTCATTTTTAGAAGCCTAGAAAAACAGGTTTAACTTGACAGATCGGTTCCAAATTATGCACAAATTTTAACTAAAGAATTAATTAATTTTAAGGGGAAACATTTTTTTTTTTTAACTAGAATTAAACTATAATTTTTGAATTTTTACAAATCACTGATTATCTCGGAAAAAAATTGTGAATTTTACAAATCTAAGACCAGATTCAGAATCATCAGCGAAATATACAGATTTCTCTTTTCAAGTTCTGACCGCACAAATGTATTGCCCTGTGTATTTCAATATTATATTTTTATTGTTTACACACTTACACCTATTTTTTATTTTTGAGAGATAATAATACCCGACCACCAATTCTGCAGAGGCTATCAATTTTTTTTTCTCGAAACCATATTTAAGTTTATTCATTATTTTGTCAATTATATTATAATTAAGTATAAAATAACATTCACTCAACATAAATACATAACATAATAATTATAATTGATATACAGTTGATTATATTATTATTTATAATAAAATAGTATAGTAATAATAATTGATAAGTCAACTGTAATTTTCTGTTTAAATCTACAGATCTTTCAGAACATCTTGAAAGACCAGTAGACTGTCCTCATTAATTAAGTATAAAATAGACTTTCAATAAAATGTATTATAGGGTATATCTTTTTAATAAAAAATGTCTGAACAAAATTAAACAATTTATTACTTTTAACCATAATATTATCTAATCTTACCTTTAATATAATGTGCGATATTACTTCTTAAAAAAGACGGACATACTTCGCACGTTGGCGCAGTCACTGTTGTAGGTGAGAAGCTGAGAAGGTAGGATATAGAAGGGAATTTAATGTATATCTGTAACTAACAATAAACTATTACTAACGAAAAACGATTCTGAGCGGAGTTCAGTTTATAGTGATGCCTTATCAACAATATTTATATCATATTATGGTAAAATAATTATGTAGGCATTAAATATTTTCTTTAATAATATTTGTTTAATATTTTTACATTTGATGGGAAAATTCTTGAGAAAATCGAAAAACGACCTCTCTAAAGTACCTCCCCAGCGAAATTTCATTTCAGAAAAATGTCTATCATTATAAATTGGAGCAAAATTTCTGGTAGAAAAGAAAACTTTTGAGTTTTTGTGTATCTATTTGTAACATAAAAAGACGGACATAATTTGCGCGATATAGGTTGGTCACTGCAGTTGTAGGTGAGAAATCGGGAAGGTAGGATTTGACGGGAATTTAATTTATATCTATCTATCGTTATCGTGCCATTTTTTTTTTTTTTTGTTTTGCAGCATCGAGTACACATTTTGTAAAGGGTAGGTATCTAAGAGTATATTCATCATGGATCCATAGGTTAGATACATTTGATTTACATTTATCTGATATTATACGACTTCGAGGGGGACGACATCTATATTTTTTAGAAGCCACGTGTTGTAAAGAGGCAGGCGAAAAGCTTAAATCTAAAAAAAAGAAAAGGCTCGGGGGAACGGGATGATGTATCGGTCGTATCGCCGTCCGTAAATATACGTCACTGGTGTCAACGGATTCCGTCGCCAGTACGCCAATACCGCCCGATGCGAATTTTATCCGGAAATTATCGAGGCACACCGATATTGTATTTATTATTTATCGTTGTAGTATACCGCTCGCACCTACGCCGGACAGTTGAAATAGGTGTATGACACACGCAATACGGGACGTGACGGCGGCTATGGACGTTTCGTCGTCGTCGCCGTCGTCTAATAATAATAATAATAATAATAATGATAATATTATATATTAAGTAATACACCTCGCCGCGGGATCGGACGCGGCGGCGGGTCGGAGGGCGGTTTGCGGAGCGACCTTGCCCGGTACCCCGACGACGACGACGACGACGGGTCCGACCGACACACCGACCGACCGACCGACCGACCGACCCGGCGGCACCGGGCTCCGATTGGCCGCGGTGGGCGTATCCGGAGGTACCGGCAAACCAAGCCTTTCGGCGGCGGTCCGCCGCGGCGCACGAGGCGACGACGGAAACGCGTGCCGCCGCAGTCCCCTCGCGCACGCACAAACGTACGTACACGCATTGTACCGTCTCGTGCCGCATAATAAATATTGCTTGTGTTTTTTTTTTTTTTTATCGTCCTCTTCTGTAATAATATAATACCTACGTACCCGCGTACTCGCGCGCCGCTATCGTAAATACCGTACCGTGTGCCGTCGCATATTAAGTCTACGCGGTCCCAAGTACGCGTTTATCGTTCTCGCCCACCCTTGTTGACGGCGGGTCAGAACACCCGTAGCGCATTTTACAATATTTTCCGTTCGGATTTAGCGCCGCGCGACGAACTGTGCCGCCGCCGTTAACGCAACATCGGTCCGGAATCGTAGGATAATATCTATAACAAGTAAAAGTCGTACCCATATATTAATATTATTTTATATAGGGTATACCGCGGAGAAAAAACCAGTACTGTTGTTTTGTTTTTGTTTTTTTTTCTACGCGTCGCGGTATTCTCATCCGTTGTTTTGTGTTCGATTTTTTTTTTCTTTTTAACGCTCGGCAGTCGCGTGCACGCGTCGTTTTCAATCCGTACGGTTCTAAATGTGCCGGGTGCGCGTCCAGTGCGGACTATGAGCTGCACAGAGGTTATGTATCAGGCGTATTATCCGTATTTGTACCAGAGGTCTTCGGGCTCGGCCGCTCCGCCGACCAGAGCGCCGCACCATCATTTCGCGCCGTTCACCCATCAATATGACCGGGTAAGTGCAACGAGATAATCGCCGTCAATATTGTTATCGTATTTATACCGCGCGCACACGCCACTGGTGCCCGGGAATTTTCACTGCCTAGCATGCCGTTAGTATAAATAGATAATAACAATCGTGCGCGGTTCGCGCTCGATAAATCGTACTTACTGCGATAAGATAATAATTATTCTAGTCGACCCGTGCGAAGCGTAAATTTTCAAACAAATAATAGATTGTATACAGTCGTGAATTAACAGTTTGTTAGAAGAGACGAATTAAATATTGATAATTTTACCTCGTTCGGCCGAGTACAAAGGGAGAAATACAGATCGTTACTAAAACCCATCATCTTAGATCGAACAATTCTATAAGATGCCTAATCCGACGATAGGACTGTATCTAGTCTAGCTGGATCTAGAAATTCAAATTTATATTCGATAAATCTAGTTTTTTCCCTCTTGTATAATATTGTGGCTGAAACAAATTTACTGAGTACTCGTATTTTAAGCCAATGCGAGGAGGTACATAACACCAACCTCTTTTCCCTTATAGATGCCATAAAGTCGTGCGCAGGGAGGATGCCGGGTATGTCATGGCGTTCCCTGCGGTTTGCGAGCAGTTTTTTGTTCTTTACTATTTAGTGAGGCATTTTATAAACCTTGTTATAAACTGTTGTAGTAATCAGGTAATAGGACGTTATACCCCTATTTACTATCTGTCCTACTATCGGGTAAAATACAAAAACAATGCTTAGTAAAACTAGCTTAATTTTGATTTTAGAATGAAAGTACCTATTATGAAATTTATAGAGAAAAGTATTTCAGAGGGAATACCAAGGGGTTTTTTGTACTATTCAAAATATACAGCTCGATATAAAAGATAAAAAACCTTTATTTTTTTGCTTTTTTAAATAATTGTAACTTTTTTAATAATTCATAATTCAAAAAACACCGATGACGAATTTTATAACAGGTACTTTTACTCTAAAATCAAAATTAAGCTAATTTTACTAAGCATTGTTTTTGTATCTTACACGGTAGCTGAACTAAGACAGTAGATGAGAGTATAACGTCCTCTTAAGAAATGTTGACATTTTTTAATTTTCATCATGGCTATAGATAATATTTTTAATTGTGATTTTTATCAAGCGCATTTTAGTGATAATGGGATTTGGGAATTGGGATATCACATGGACGTTAGTCACGTAACCATTCACGGTGCTTTGCAGAGTTGCTGCAGATAACCGTAGAACAGTCTGATAACATTATTCGTATGACAATTATGAATATTTTCATAATTTTTACTAGAGCATATTGACTATTGTTGTAAACTTTATAGTTGAGTAAAAATAATTTTGAAAAAAAATTCAGATTTGTATCTTTATGAAAGTGGTTAAAAATTCATCTATTTTGAAGTATACCTACTGGCATCCCTTGTGAAAAAAGTCTGCGCACGCCTATGGGCCAGATGCCACTGAATCTGATTATCTCCAGAGCCGTGTTCAGGACGTAATACGGTATAATATATCCTCGTACGTTGACTATTTTAAATTTGTGTATACCCAGCGAACGTGCTTATTTTAGATTTAAATGAATTGTTTAATAAATTCAAATTTACATTCACTTCAGAATACTTCCTTTGTCCCTTACAAATCGTAAGTCATCGATCGTTCAGAGTGGTAACTTAATTATATCGCTCTATACCAACGTCGGTATTTCAGATTTGAAATTGCCTATTTAAAATGAAATACATAATATTATTACCTAACTGTTAAAGAGAAAACTACTATTGTCTTCGTAATTATTAGTGTAATTATGTATTACTTTAACCGTGTAATCGTACTATGTAGACAGATATTTGTCCAATATATATATATGTATTAAGGCATTGAGATTTCCTACATTTTGATGGTTTAGAATCAGTATAGGGATGAGCATCTGGACCATGGCCCATTATGAAATTTCAGATTCAACTAAAATATGCTCGTCTGTCAGCAAAATTCCAAAAAAAGTATTGAATCAATAAAAAAAAAAATATATATATATATATATAAATAACTTAGATTAATATATTTTAGCTAGGCACGCAATATATTCTATTGAAAAAACTGAATACCTTTTCTACATATTATAACTGCGAAAATTGAAGGCCACAAAACGCCTTCAACCTTATATCGACTAAAAACGTTTTTAAAGAATCAACAATGAAATTTATCTTATTCTATAGGTATATTATCATAATAACATAATTATAACCCTTCGGACTCCCAAAATATTTTTAACTGGCCTATCGTTAAAATAAAGAAAATAATTCTTATACACAAGAGATTTTAAGAAATTTTCACTAGGTAAAATTTTTGAATAAAATTAAGAAATCTTCCACATGACTATACTGTTTACGAAAAAAAAAACAGTGACTGTAGGACTTCTGGTATTTTTATATCGAATTAATATCAAATTTTTGGGACCCCTGTATTAACATTATGAGTATTTATATAAAGCCCAAAAGATTTTATCCATATAATATTAAAAAAAAAAAAAAAAAATGTTAACTCATTATAGTCGAGCAATATTGCTATCGTATCATATCTCTAAAACTTTATCTATCTATTTATCTATTCCTAGCTTCGCTCAGAATCTAATATATATATATGTATATATATTTAACGTTATTGAAGAAATATTTAGGTATAATTACCTAAATTTTTCATTTGTAAATTATAGGCTTATAACATAGAATAGAATAGTATAGACTGCAGTATAGATAACATTTTAATATTGTAGAAAGTATCTATGGAAGAATATGCTTAATTTATTCTAGCAGTTATTTGGGCCATTTAGGGTTAATCAAATATATATCGTTTATATATATATATATATAGGACTCCTCAAAGGTTGATACATAGAACCCTTAAAATTATTCCGCGTTATCTCATCTCGGCCATTGATTATCCCTTATTGATAATGGTCACGTTGACTGTCTATGGCCTGAATTTTTGTTTATATAATATTTATGGAAAGCTACATAAATACGTGCGTTACACCCTCAAAGTCAATAACGGTCTATATAGGTAATTATGATTTAATGATGATTTTAAAGGTATCTCTTTATTTAATATTATTGTTTTGGTTATAGGGTTATAGAGATTAGACCATTAAAGATATCTCTGAATTTACTACTAATAAATATTATTTGTCTAATAATATTGTTATTATATAAGAAATATGAAAATTAGTATAGGAAATGTTCCTGGATATATTTGAAAATTATTATAATATGAATATATATATATATAAAAAAAACGATACTGCTGGTGGGTATATCATTATTAAAGGTGGGAAGTTGAGCAACGATGAATACGTAGTTATTTGTTGTATGTAAACATCGATCAATTAATACTAAAGAAAAACGATTCTGAGCAAAGTTCGGTTAAACATATTTTGAAATGCGGCGATGTTTGTTAAAACTTGAAGCGTTTTATAAGTATTATCTAAAATTCACCTCGTGTTAAATTTTTGAGAACTTCTATTTGGCTAAAACAATTGCATAGTGCCAAATAAAACCCCAACAGTTTTAAATAGATATGTGTTTTTATAAAGTTATTACATTATTTTTTATACAATTTATTATGAATTCTATGAATCCTATGTAGGTCATAAAACTTATTTTACTCCTTCCCTTATATCCCGACTTTTCGGGGTTCGCCAGTGGCGGATTTACGGGAGGGGGGTCCAAGGGGTCTGGACCCCCCAGACACTGATATAATTTCAATAAATGTTGAAAATCTGCTACTGGGGTCCACTAACTTTGTCCTAAACTTCCACTTGACCCGATCTCCCACCTCGCATATACCAACTGTCCTCATATTGTTCTCAATCGTATTCAATCACCTATTTTTCGATCTTCTTCTCCCCCTTTTCCTTACTGTTCTTACTGTTTTTGATTCCTCTCTCTTCGTGACCTACCTAAACCTTCTCTGATTATTTCCTCTCATTTTGTCTACAATGGAAGCTAGGTATAAGCTACCATTTATACCTTTCATTCCTTATCTTTTCTCGTCATTCCAGTTATCCACCTAAACATTCTCATTTATGCTACATTCATTCTCTGTTCTATCTTCTTGTCTATACCGTCAAACACTCTAAATCATACAACATAGTCGGTCTTATCAAACTTTTGTAGGACTTAATTTTAAGACTCATTGGAATTCTATTATCGCATAAAACATCTGACACTGCTCACTACATTATCCAACCACACTTAATCAAGTAATCCATTTCTTTGCCAAAGTCATCGTTCTTTTGTACAAAAGATCCTAGGTACTTAAAACTCAACCTCGTCAATTACGTTACCGCTTATTGTCGTTAACATTTTTGTTCTGTTCATCCAAACTCATATTATATATAGTTCGTTTTACTTCTACTTATATTTAGTTATTTTTCTTCAAATGCCACTCTCTATTACTCAAACGTTTCAAAAAACCTATTACTAACTTCTTCCATATTTTCGCTTACCAAAACTTAATCATCTGAAAACATCATGCACCATGGTGGCATGGTACCTCCTCTCATCTCTTGTCACAATGCACTTCCGAAATGAGACAGTTAGCTAAAGTCTTATTTAAAACACCTCATGCTGTTTGACAAAATTTTACACCGGTTGTCGACCTGGCGCAACCCTATTTTGTCGTCTCTTGCGCCATGTAGAGGTACCGTGAGAGTATTCTGATCCTCTCCCACAGTGAGTGTGTTGAAAATATTATAAATATACATAATGTAGTATAAAGTTTTATCGCCCATTTACTTATTGAGTGTTTGAATGATATTCAGCTAATTACGGGCTATTTTTTATAATTTTAGTATTGAGTATTTTGATTTCCTCCCACAAGGAGTAGGTAGTCATAAACTCATTTGATTAATTGTTGCTATTTTTAAATGAAGTGTGTTGGAAAAATTTAATAATTTATTAGGTTAGATGTTCTTTTAATTTATATTAATGATGAATCTACAGGGATACATTTTGTGGATAGTCAAAATGGTCGACTGTTAACACTTAACAAATTTGTTTAAATATCTACAATGTCAATGGAAATAATTGTATAATTAAATATTAATTTTCTGAAATGTCCACCTAAACTATAAATCATAAACCTCATTAAAATCATTTAGAGATATGAATTCTAGCGATATAATTTCCTTTCGAATAACTATTTTATTGTTTCATTTAAATTTATGTAAATGGAACTTATATATGTAAACTTATAACTTCATGCTTATAAACTAAAATCATGCAAATATTTGACAGCATGCTATTGCTTATATTTTGTATAGGTATCACCTTTATCGCAAATTAATAGCTTTAAAATATATACAGCCAACCACTAATATAGACCATAATATTACGGTATAATGTAAGTAATGGTAATAATATGCAAAATTAAATTTGAGTTGTTATTTATTTTGGAATATATTATCATAGCGTTATTTTAATACGTAAGCATAATATAGAATATTATTTTATCGTATAAAAAATATATTTACGTACTGCTAAATATTTGCGTTAAATTACTCAACTGTTTTCAGATCCGGTTTAAGTAGAACATAATATGCCGCGGTTGACAATATGTGTACCTATACACGATGACAATTTTTTCTTTCTATGCTTTAATTTTATATACTGTATCAGTATGTCGGAATGGACCACCTGATATTTAGAAAATTTCCCGGAACCTATACTAGAATTAATTTCTTATACAATTATGATACTTACTCATCGGCGTTTTTAAACTGGTAAACGTTAATATTTGGTTGCCCCATAAAATTCGCATATCTTTCTTAACCATCTAGTACCTACTGATATACTTTAAATGATTTTTTTTTCAATTTTTTTTATCTAAAATGCACTACTGTTTTAGCTGAGTAATAGTTATTGTAAGTAAAATATTGTGGATACAGGTACTTTTATATAATGCCTGATATAACTCTGCATTCTGCAAAAGACAAAAGACGAATCTGTTATTTTTAAACCACTGTGTATACAATGTATATATTTCATCTACAGATAACGCATTTGAAATAATTATAGGAGGTATACAAAATAACTTAACAGAGTATTACAAGCTCATTATTAGTTAACTATATATAAATTAATTTTTTGTATTAATTCAATTAAAATTAATGTAAAGTTAATAAATCTTGAATCGGTATTTTCTATTGAAATGAATTTAGTTTAATAATATCACTATTTTATATAAGTAATTTAAATAAATATAATGTTTACAATGAACCTTATGTTAATGATAGTTTAGTATTTACATATTTTAAATATACATACATAAACGATTTTAAATGTACCTACAACAATCTTCATTAGATTTAGCTGATAAGTATAGAACTTTAAAAGAAAACAACATTTTCATTAGTCACTTTTACAATTATAGTTAGACTGGTTGCTCATGGAGTTTATAAGGAACTGACTTCTTACGCTTCACATAGATATATCATGTGTATTATATGAATGCGATTTTGCCTGTTGCCTGAAAGAGATATGGGTTACTTTTTAAGAGGACTTGCATTTACTATCCAACAAACGGCCAGCATGGAAAAATTATGCTTAACACAGACTTCATAGAACTCACAAAATTTTTGGTTTGCAATAAAAGCATCTATTATAAAATTAAAAGAGAATTGAGGAAAATGATGCACAAATTCTAAAATTTGTTTTTAAACTTATACCAAAAATGCACTCCCATTCATTCATTAATATGATATCATTTTTTGTTACAATTTAAAAAGGTCTCTGCTGAAATTAAAATTAGGTACACAATACTTAATTTTTCATAAAAAAGAGTAAATAGAATACCTATTATAGAGTTATAAGCACTAGATACATGTGAGTAATTTTAGATGACTGTTGTAAGAATAAATACAAAATTATAAAAAAAACTTAATTCATAAGTGTTCCACTAGGAGCAGTCAGGGAAGCAGTGATGTACTGTTCTTATCACCTAATTTTGTAAAATGACATTTAGTGCCCACAATGTTTCTTTTTATCTTGGCTCGATAGTCAACTATAGTCTATCTATAAACGTTTCCTACTACCGATAATATTCGTCGTATATAAAACAATTAAAATAAAATATTTTGTTTTTTCGTTAATCTTACTACCGTTGGACAATTACTGTTGTATATTGTACACTCGCCTTTAATATACGTATCTATAATAATGACACAGTGGTAGAATGTATTGTAGTTGCCAAAGTGGATATTTTTTTTTCAATTCATAGGTACCATGTGTTTTGAAAGACATTCACTTTAAACTATAGTTATCGAAGGACGTGCGTGCTGGAATGAGGTGCCAAGTATTCTTTTGATCGAAAAGCAATAGCCATTTTACCGTCATCATCATTTTATTTTAGTTGTTAAAAGGAATTAATAGAAATTTACAATGGGGTGAATATAATAACTGCAGTACCTATTGTAGTGTTCCCTCAATAATATATTTTTAATCGTCCAATTATAATATTTAATGTTTAAAATTAATTCAATTAGGTTGTAACAAATAATCAAATTGTTTGTTTAATGTCGCGTATCCGATATATAAGTATATTTTCATAGCATATTGTAGCCTATTCCGAGTGACAAATATTTTAATAGGTACTTTAATTCGTTTAAAACGCGATGCGTTTCCGCGATTAACGCAACTATAAGGAATATCCTGTTAAATTGTTTAAAACATTCTACACAGCAATAAAAACATTTATAGGCATGTAAAAATATTACTGTTTATTACATAGGCAAGTATAGGTATACAAAATATAAATCATAAAGTAGTGATGCGAGGACATTTTATTTTTTTTTGCGAGGCTTAACTATTTTCTATTCCTATACCTATAGTTACCATCATTATCATCACCCCTCTTAGGAATAAATATTAAATCAGTGATAAAATATCGCTATTGATTATAAAAACTGACTGTACTATGATTCTACTGTCTCCATCTATTTTGGTCGAGACGCAGGTTTAAAAAAAATAGTTTAGGCCACGCTACCATTGATAAAACGCATTCATATAATTATTATGTGTTTTTTTTATTATTATTTCATTTTATATTATTACTTTTGAATTTTTTTAAAAAAAACTACTTATTCTTACATTTCTTTATATGGACTAAAGTATTTATAAGTATATAGCTATGCCGTAATGGTTAGTGCTTAATATATTGCAATTAATACATTATATTTAATATCGTTACTTTTCACAACTTTTTAGTCATAACGCAGTCTGCGTGTATTTTATCGATCTTAATAAAAAAATAAAAAAAAATATTTATCACTTTTTGCAAAATATCTTATTTGTGAATTTGAAATGGATTAGGTAGGTGTATATATAGGTATGCATTTTTATTTTTACACAAGGACAAAATATGCACCAGGAGGTATATTATCGTGTATATTAATATTGTCGTTTGCCCCGGGACTCAAAATCGAATAAAACTCAATGGTTTTAATATTCACAAACTAATGGCCTTGTAATGCTTAAAAAAAATAATGTTTTATTGTACCAGACTTTGTCTATATACCTATAAAACAAAAAAGTAGGTAACTATTATTACAGTAAAACTTTTGAATTCACCTAAATGTAATAGTTAAACGTTAAGACGTATAGGTATTATTTTAGCACGTGTTCAAGTTGTTATTCAGTTTATTATATATGAAGTGATATGCATTATATTATTTCAAACACGTTCACACAGTAAACTGCATACAGAGATCTAATCAACTGCAGCGATATAATAATAATTATAAATTTAATAATATATATATTTTTTTATACATATATATATATATATATATTGTTATTATATCTAACTTGCATGATTTCTACTTCTTTATTGGTTTAGTTGAACACATTTTATAACATCGTTTTCTTGGTTAATCATTACCTATTTTCGATGTACGCGCGCGCGTATATAATATACTGTCGTATATAATAGTCAGGAACCGGTTGTTTTGGAAAACTTGTCTTTTTAAAATCCTACACTGCCTGCCGCAGAATTAGAGAGAGAGATACCATATAGTTAATGTCTGTCGATTAAATTTGATATCTGTTTACATGAGCATTATATTATTAACCTCCAACAAAAAAAAAAAAACACGCGTGTGTGGTTTATACTAACACAAATATAGATGTGACCACAGTCGTCGGTATACCTAATGCGTATAAGGGTTAATAAATAATAAATTACATTTATGAGAATATTATAAATTTATAACTAATAAATGTTACGAAAAATAAATGGAATAACATAACATTTTAATATTTGAGTACATAATATTGCTAATACCTAGGTATACCGAATATTAATAAATTATTATAAACGTCATTAATTTTTTTTTTTCTTGGCAGCACAATACATTTAAGGAAATGCAAATTTCCTGCTAAATATATCTAATAAATATTTCATTTAAAAATATCAAGTGCTAAAATATTATTTTATTATTATTATACTATTGTTATTATTATTATATTATTTGAGAATAAATTTTATTTTATTTACATCATAGGGAAGTACCTCTGCCTAACGAATTTCACATTTATTTGTTCAAAATTATTATACAGTTAATAATTTTAGATTCTGAGCGAAGCGAGGAATGTATTGGTTTTACATTGATGTTCATTTTTTTTTTTTATGTATAATTTTTTTATCTGTAAACAAATCTTTCTTTACTTTTCTTCGGTTATCAAATTTAGTAAGTTTTCTGAAAGGAAATTTACGTAATTTATTATTTTCAATTTTTGCAATTCAGTTAAAAATATTCAAAGATGTTTAAAATTTTGACATAGGTGCTTTAAATGCTCAAACAATTTTATTTATCACTGCCTATAGTTAGTGCTTGGACATGGTTGATATTATTTCTAAATATGTTTAGTTGTATGAAAATGAACCATTGCTTTCAAAAGCCAGCAAAATGTACAAACATAATATGTAAATAGAAAATAACATGTCTACATACAAATAAAATACAAAAATGTCCGGCGGGAAAACGTGATAATATTTTTAATAATAGGTATTATTAATAATGCTGTGTGCAAATTTCCACACCACCTTGGCTCGATAAACGACAGTAAAATAATTTACGTTATTTAAAAAGCATATGAGGTACTGCACGAGGTGCGTTTTTGATATAGTGGTATCCCCGAGTAGGCCTAATCCACTGTAATGTAGTAGAGCATAAATTATATAGATACTTACTTACGTGATTATCGTTATTATTGAAGTTTTTTATCATCGATTTTTGTTTATCGATTGCTGGGCTTTCATTTTTTTATTTTTAAAGTTTTGACTATTGCATAGTTTTTATCTTGTCCTATATAACAGTTAGGATTTCGATTGCTGTTATCTTCGTTATTATTTAACGTTTTTCTTCGATTTTCAGATAATGTCGGTACTGGATTGAAGTTAATATTTACTCTTGCCCGCACATGACTATTTTACTGTTATTTTACTTTTACTACTATAACCTAGTAATAAACACTATAATAATATAACATAACCGTTCTCGTACTAAAAATAGTGCTAAAAATCAGGTGCCTGATTGGAAATCAAACTAGAGTCTCTGTAAGTAGAGCGGTGGCTCTAACAAACTGAGCTGCCTGTAGCTCTGACCCCTAACACTTTTTCGGCAGACTTAAACGGTCGTGGGTTTGGAAGGTTGGTAGAGTGGCAATATATCGTACACTGTTAAGAAAACGTTACGGTGCTCGGGTAAGTCGTGCCAGATTTATACCTGCAGTAAATTGCGTTAAGCTTATATTTAGGTAGCCTATAGCGCAACCTTAAATTTATATAGAATACGATCACCGAATCCCGGTTGTTGCTGTTTGCAAATTTTGATTAATTTTAACATAGCAATAATATTCGGCTCGGGTGAATCAATAATATGCCGGAAACGATATTCCGCTGCTTGATCCTTTCTGCAGTAGTAGTCTTGACTTGAAATTTAAAGTGTTCGTGTGCAAATAAATCGATAATAAATGTGTGATATTATAAAAAAATACCTATTTACGAGAAGGTATATAGTATTGAAAAAAAAAATTGAAAACAATAAATTAAACATAAGAATGTCAATAATATTTATGAAACTAACATAATTTACTACAATTATTAGATTAAATACCTACCATTATGCAGTTTAGTTGGTATAACGACAGTAAACAATTTAATATTGGCCAACGCGCTCATTTTCACAATATTTATACTGCCGTTCAAATAAATTAAAATTAAATAAATACTACTATATTATACAAATAAAGTATAACGTATTCGTTATACTCGGGAAAATTAGCGGGGAATATCGAGCCACCGTATAATTTTTGCGAGTAGATACATATTTTGTAAACAGAACAGCATAATTTTGTATTAATTTAACACATACTGTACTAAGGAAAAATGTGTTACAGTTTAATGAATTCCCACTTTGCGTTATATAATATTATCTTATTTTTTATCTTATAAATTATGGTCTATGCTTACGTTTAATGAAACAATATCGTACAAAATTGAATACTATGTCCTTTTTTTTTTTTAATTCGTACAAATAATACTTTATGGTTTTTCCTACAAAATGCACGAGTTAATATTTTTCATGTTTATGTATAAAATTAGTTATTGGTATTTAATCATTACTGCTGGTTATCCTCACCCGCTTTGTCTCTCTATTATTATATTCCGCGGTCAGTTATTTTATTTATAGTGCGAATGCTTCCACATTAAGTCGTTTGAGAATTCCTATATATATATATATATATTTAGGTGTATTATTTGTTTATTTGGACCGCCGACCCGGGAGTTTGATTTTCCAAAAGGCCGTGTGAAAATATTTCTCAGGTATATTAATATGTATAGTTTATAGCAGCGAGAGAGCAGCAAAGAGTGTACGTGAAACGAATACCCGCATGCACGCAAATAATGCAATCTATACTCGAAAGAAACATTTAAGATATTTTCATACTGACATAAGCCTAATGAACAAATTGGAATGGCTAAGATGAGTGGGATTCCATATTATCTTCATGTTACCGTGTGTGTGTGTGTGTGTGTGTGTGTGTGTGTGTGTGTGTGTGTGTCCAAGTGGGCAGGCGCCCTTTGTACAAATTAAAAAAAAAAACTCGAGGAATAATTCGTCATAACAATTATATATGAATAGTAAGGTATAACATGTGAAAATTCTTGTTTTTCCGCATAAATATGGGGAAAATCATATCGTATAATATTTATGTACTATTATTGTTTTTATAGCGAATTTTATATAAGTATAACGGGACGTGGTGTATGGGAGAGAAAAACAAACAAATTGTGAAAAACAATAAAATTACCACACGCTGTAAAGTTTAGTGTGTAACGTACAAATCCCGTGTTAAAGGTATATACGGGTATGTATCCATGTTGATTTATGGTCATAAGAGGCAGCCGGTGTGTGCCGGGACACGAGGAATGTTCTTTTAAGTCCGGCCCGACTCCGCATTCCTACTGTATCTGGTCCATCTTACAATTTATTCTTGTTTAGGTTTTTTTTTCTTTTATTATTACTATTTTTTTTTCTTTTTTTTTTTTTTTTTTTTTACTTTTTTTTTTTTTTTTTTTTTTTTTTTGCTTTTACAACATATAGTCTGTTATAGCAGTTGGTATATATATATATGTATATACACAACGAAACGCAGCAATATGATGATAAGACAATTGATGTTTTTCGGAAGAAAAAACTTTGGGCTACCACTTTTTTTTCATCATCATCATCGTCATCATCTGCAGCAGTACGTCCTTTACACTCAACCGGTTTCACTGTGCTCTTTCGTCTTGTGCGTTGTGTAATATTAATTGACCGTCATTAGTCTAAAGGACCGGGGCTGCTGCGCCGAACAATCTTATAGTATTATTTAATCCAATCAACACGTATACAAGACGTATATACATATTATACGATATATATATAAGCCACAATATTAACTCACCGCGATTACAATATTATATGGAATATTGAATTGTAACGAAATAGGCACAGACAGCGTTCGATAATATTTTATCGATTAAAACGTTTAATATAGCACACGACGCACACGACTGAATAACACGTTCTTATCAATATAATATTAGGAAACTGAGGATTCGAGCGATAAAAAATAATTTGTATTTTAAAAAAACTATAGGTGATTTTTTATTTGAATATCTTCTATACGCGTCCACTTCCTTCTCTAACAGTTCAAAGATCTAATTTTCCCCCATTCATTCTCAAATATTATCCTGTAACCACCACTTTCCTAATATCAAACGCATTCCCTACAGATTGTAATATACAGAGTACCTATAACTGTATCTTAATTAGTGATTTTTATCGGATGTATATCTCATTTATTATCTTAATAGGTATACATAATTATACTAACAATCTTTAACCGTTGATCAAAATAATTAAATTGAGTACAATTTTACATTATTATCGTACGAATAATTTCTTGATAATTTGATATTGATTAAATTACTAATATATTATATGTGTAATAATGTATTAATATAAACAGCAATAAATATAGCAACAATTATGTGTTTTACCATAATCTGCCAGCAACATAAAGGGTGTCCATTGTACTTAACCGTACGTTCGTCTGGACACAGTGAAGCTCCTTAAAACTGGCCCGAAACAAATAAATATGGTTTAATAATATTATAGTTTAGGTGTTTTTAAGAGAAGTGCTCGTTGGTTATGAAGGAATATACGATTTGTTCGTGTGAATGATTCTATTATATGATACTAACATAAGTGAAATTTTTCGTAGAAATTATCATTATGCTTTGTAGTTTGTTAAATTTAAGTGAAGAAAAAAAAAAATGAAAAATCCGTTAAGAGTAACCTATACGTTAGGTATTATTAGGAACACAAAGCGAATCGTATTACATCGCACATATACATCTACCTAATATATTATATAGTTTTAAAACGATTTTATCTTTTTTTTTATGTATAATATATTTATATTCTACATGTAATTATTCATATTACTATATTATAACTATATGCGTGTATATTATGTAGAATTGTCTAAAAATCGCCAATTGAACGTTGACAATATTTTATCTGTTTACAGCTGAGGGCATTGGAAACGCACCAACAGGCGTCCACATCTTCGCCGATCGGCGGTAGCGATTCGCCAGCAAACAGATGGACAACTATAGCCGATCACGCGGACTCGCACCACAGCAGCGTCGGTTCGGGGGCGTCCAGCGTCGGCCCGGTGGGCGGCATCGCGAGCCCAGCGTCGTCTCCTGCCACCGCCAACAGCGTGTCCGTGGTGCACAAAGAAGAAGATACGTCCAGAGATGGTGAGAAATTTGCAAATGGTTTTAAAATCAACACAAACCTACATGATATCCGTAGTTGTTATTTTGTATTTATATACTTACACGAATCGGGGGTGGAACCAGGATAAGAAAACGGAGGAGAGGGCGATTTTAAAAATGCATAATATGAAACACACATTTATGGCGAGTTTAATGATGAATCAAGCTAAGTTTGCCAATGGTTTAAGAGTATATTGGAGAGTAAACGGGGAAGGGGCGATTGCCCCAATCGCCTCCACCCCTTAGATTCATCCGTCACTGACGCGTATTTATATGTATGGTCTGGATTAATATGGTCTATAATAAATTACTTTGAATATATACTGTCATATAATAACAGGTTTTACTTGTGGGGTATTTGTTCCGCGTGAATTGAATTATATCAATAATTATGTATTATATTCTCGAAATACACTGTCCAAGATCATAAAAAATAAAATAAATAAATAAATAAAAAAAAACCTTTTATTGATTCACCGTACGAGATTAAACGAATAATATGTCCTCCTCACATACACGTTGCGTCGATACGATTTCATGTTATGCACGAACCGTTTTTATTTATTTTGTCCTAAACTTTTTTAATATAAAAACGAAAATTTATCTCACCGCGAAGTTCGTATACTGCACGAGATGATGTATAATATATTCATAAAATATTCGCGATTAAATATCTCGCGCGCATGCATACCTCCGATAACGCAACGAGTCGCGCAAACCGAATTTTATAATATACAGGTACTGCTAGATGTACTTAGCACTTGCATAGCTAGCTAGATACTTACGAGTTTAAACCACGACAGCTTATTAGATACGTATAACTTAAACCTTGTAAAATTTAATAATATATAACTACATATTATAGTGCTTAAAATAAACAATAAATCACCTAGACAAACTGTTAAATTTCATCATTATAAGTTCTTACAAAAATTAAAATACAAAAAAAACTAGTAAATTGCATTTTATATTTTATTTTAACTATAATAATATTTATTTAAGATCATAGACACTTTTATAAATACTTGATAAGCAAAAAAAAATAACTTTCCAATTTCATATTAGAATTGTTGAATCTAACTACTATGGTAAACTACCTATGATAAATCTTATTTGAGTTAATGTCAGTGGCTTACTTAATTATAAAATAGACAATTTCCGAAAGAAAACAGAAAACTTAATAAAAAGTATTTTTATTTTTTTAGTTCTTCGAAATAAACAAAAAAATAATTTTCAATTTCAATAGAAATCAATTTCCACAGCACTCTGCTAAATTTTGTGTCATGCCAACAAAATAAGTAAATGCTATAAATATCGAACCCTATTTATGATGTATAACTGTGTCAATTGGTCGATATTTTTGTTCATTTTCTGTTACTTACATTAAAGACTAAGACTTACGGTCGTGCTTATAGAATGAAGGGTTTTATATTCTCCCATTGATCTTCTTTGAAGGAGTATTTCAGCAATTTCCACTTAAAAATATGATTAATAATTTTATATCTTTAACTAGTTGTATTTAGATTCGCCCACCCTCATATCTCAGATTTTTTTTCACATTTTATTATGAGCATCTTTGTTCAAAATATAATATAATGATAAACATAATACAATATACTATTAATATGGTTTCATAAATTTTTCTTAGAAGTATTATAAAACGTTGAGTTTTGCTTTTAATTTTATTAAAATAATTCGAAAGCTACGTAAGTTTAATAATAATAAAAAAAAAAACTCAAAATGTTCTCAACTAATAAACTATTCATAAACAATTGGAATTTCTATATTTACCACTCGATATAATATGTTTATTGGAAAATGTTTTACATATATTATATATCATTTAATTTTCTTTTTCAGAATTTTCTTTTAAAAACATATTTGCTATTCATAATTTGTATGGTTTTAAATTCTGAGTATGGCGATGAAGTTACTATAGTTTTTATAAGATGTGTGTTTTTTCTCCGAGAATTATTTTTACAGTTCATTCCTTTGGTCCAGTTTTGTTTTTTTTTTTTGCTAGATAAATTTATTTACTATACCTTTATTATATTTACTATATTTATTTTACCTTAAAAAATGCGGATTTTTAGCCCTATGGGACTTTATTTGAGAAAATGGTCTAGATTTCCACTAAAGTTTCCATATAATTTAAAAACTAACAATAAATGTCAATACATATGTTTTATTTTGTCAATTTCTGGATTATGCACAAGGGAAAGAAACACTACTATAAATCGTTTTTGGTTGCATTCAGTATATACATTTAATTATTCTATATCTTTTAAACTTCAATTTACTTAAACGTTGATAACACGGTCGATAGAGGATAACAGATTGGTTAAAACTAAATTTTGATATAATGTATTTATTAGTGTCTAGTGATGTTTGCTGTTATCGGTACATAAATTTATCATTCACTATAATGAACTCCGTCGCAGCGTTGTCCGTGACAACCAAATGTATATGTAAATACATATAGGTTGGCAACCATTGAATTACTTTTTTCCCCTTTTGTAACTTTATAGTTACAACTAAAATAAATCGATAAAACAAAAGACTGTTACTGCTTATGGGTGTTCACTGTTCACTGTTTTAGGACGGAAATTAAAAGGGAGAATATATTTAGTAATTTAATGTATATATCTGTATCCAATTATTACTGGTAAAAAACTAGTCTGAGCAGAGATTATTAATCGCATTTTCTCTTATTGCCTAGATAACCCATAAATCGATAAAAATTATACAACAAATTGTCAGTTTTTCCTATTTATCTAGAAAACTACAAAGTAAATAAAACAATTATTCCCAAATGCATCACTTAGTAGACTAGTTAAAAAATTCCATAATAAAGTTTTTGATTGAAACATGATTTCTGACAGAACATTTGTTGATGGACACATAACAAAAAACATCATAGGAAAACTAATACATTCGATTCGCCGCTTCGCTCAGAATCTAAAAATTTAGGTCCATCATTTATTACACGCACACACCAAATACTTATTTTTATTATACTGTACACATAGCTGTCCAACACGGCGGCGTTGCTCGTGACAAATTAATTAAATACACGTAATTAATAACAGTATAAATAAATAATATTTTTTCTTCATTCGTGTCTTCAAGGTAACTTCAAAAAAAAAAAAAAAAACCCGAAATTTACGTATTTTAATGATTATGGATTTATGTGGATGCATCTTTTAGGGATACAACGATAAGTCAGTAAAACAGTGAGTAAGTGGAATTTGCCTTTATAATATAGATATCCGATATTTTAACGAAAATATTTCGTTTTAAGTTTAAATGTCACTGTGATGCAGATGTATTTTAGTGTATACAATTTATAAGTACTTTAAGAATAAAACGTGCCGTTATAATATAAATATTCTTAAAAGACTTTAAATAAGCGTTTATTTTATACAAAAGATAATATCGTCCGTACTTATATATATATATATATATATATATATATATATATATATATGTTTAGTATTATTAAAGGGTGCTCTTCAATTAACGTGCCCCGCGGAAGAAGAGCTTTATATTCTCGTGATATTGAGATTAATCTGCATTGTCGTCTTGGAAAATTCCACGGAGGCGTCTTAATAAACATTATTTTATACTATATTATTATAATGCACAACGTGGCATAATTGCGGTACATAAATCGTCTTTTTTTTCCACAAAACTTTTTTTATCGCGAATTGTAATTCAGTCCACGCCGGTATACGTATATAATATGACTTAACGAGGTGGTAATGTATTCAAAAGAGGGATAGTTTTAAACTGTTTTTTTTTTCTGCTTGTTCTTTTTCGCGGTCGTTGTCGTTAACGAAATTAAGACGGAAACGGAAAATAAGACATAATGAAGTATATATAGTAGCGCGCGCGCGCCAACGATGACGGATTTAAAAAGTTTTTTTTCGCCTTCCGCGAAAAAACCGCGGTGTTTTTATATTCGTGTGGTTTTTTTCCGCTGGTCGGGTTTTTTTAATTTTATTTTTTCTTACTCCCGCAGACGTTCGCACTGAAATGGACGAGGACGAGGAGAACGTGCAGGATAACTCGAGAACGCGGGACAGGCGCACCGCCGCACACGCGCAATACGTGTCCGTCAATTGCGTGGTGTTCACCCACTACACCGGTGACGTCGCCTCCGTGGTGGACGAACACTTTTCCAGGGCGTTAAACAACGACCAGAAACTCAACAACGCGCACCAGACGTCATCCAAAGGTGAGCGGGCCGTAACGAATTTCGGTTTTACATAAATAATTTTGAAAACGTTTCTTCTATTATGTATATTCAAATGTATTTACTGCAGATCGACGACTATAATCGACAAAATCATAAACGTCATGCCCCGGGGGGCTTGAGCGCCCTGTCGAAATATTTCTAGGGGTCAAAGCATTCGTTAGACACTAGACCAGATGATTTTTAATATGGATATTATACGTATAAATTAACTAAATATTTAATTTTTTTTTAAATTTAACTGATAAAAAACTTTTAAAATTTTTATCAGCTATCGTTACCACCATATAGACCTTATACTCATAGGCGGAGCGTGGCCTCAGTTCCCGCTAGTCATCGAGAAGTGCGCTGGATGCTCCGTCTACGAGTATAACTGTGTGAACGTAAGCTTGATGATTTTCTGTGAGGGGGTTTAGCTCTAACAAAGTTCTTTACGTACATGTATACATACTCATTATTCACGGGTGTAGTTACCTCCTTATTTCCCTTATAAATATTGGTAACATAAAAATATAATATTTTAGATTTTACATTATTATCTCGTACTTTTTTATATTTCACTGAACTCATTAAAAAGAAGCTCCTTCCAATACTTAAATTTTCTTTTTTATCTACGATGTAGAAAAAACCTTTGAAATATTTTAGACAATTTTGGAAATAAAAATATAATGAGAAAATCTTTTGAGGTTGTCACAATATGATACTTCTAAAGATATTCTTATATATTTTACTGTACATATAGATATTATACTCGTATAATACCATCGTAATTATATCGAGTGGACTTTTTACTAAAATAATTACACACTCTTGTAAATTTTTGGTGTTTATTTTTCCCATTCTCCTCATCACTCTGTATATATTATTATAATTATCATAATTTAAGTGTATTTTAACCCCCCTCCTCTTTTACGCCCTCTCTTTGCGGACACCCTCCTACAGCAGCACTGCATCGTCGCAATCGAGAAACGACCTTAACTAAGAATGCGTTTTCGCTCTGAACTGGAAGCGGGGTGGGGGACAAAACAAAAAACTCAACATCTCTCACAGATTGCGACGGTTTATTTTTTTTTTTTACCTCGAAAAATCGTTTTGTCTTTCTCACATCATCCCGCGTGGTGCGGTGCGGCTTGGTGCTATAAATGTATACATTATATTATACACAACGCATTATTTATTGTTTATATGTATAATGTACATAATATATATATATATATATATATATATATATATATATACATAAAATTTATATTGACCGCGTGAGAATTTAGCATTATTTTAATAGGTTTTTAATTAGTACAAGAAAACTCTTTCACTTGTAAAACACCTCCGGACAGGAATGCGTCTTCCGTCGCGAATCCGTGAAACTGGTTCTCCGACGACAATCATATAATACTCGTGCTCACGCGCCGCACACACTGCCAAAGATCGCTCGAGCGCACGCCTGAGCCTATATGGAATAACACACGCCGAACTCGCAAATATAATTTTTTTTTTTTTTCTACAATGTCACATTACAACGTCAAGTTTCAGGGACACTAATCGTTCGCGCACGATATTCATAATATTACTGTCGATCGTATATACTCGCAAAGAATCTTGCACTTTAGTTTAATATGTAACTACGATGTTCTAGTATTAAAAGAGCGTATCAACCAATTCCTAAATTAAAAATTAAATCTAATCAAATTAATATAATACACTTGTTTAATGTTAATACCTTCTTTTTAATTGTTGATATGTTTAGTATAAAAAAAAAATGATGTCCATCAAGTATCGTTGGAGATATGTCGTTCTATTACTAAAAACTACTTTAAAAGTTGAATATTATAAGCTAATAATCAAAATATAATTTTAGTTGATACGTTCCTTTAATACTACACTCTCGACTATACGTGTTTATATCGCAGCGTATAGAATTTATAGTATAAATATATATATTCCACTATTTAGGCTAAACGACACGATTTTTTTTATTAAGACACGCGCAACACGTAATATTATCTGTATAGGTATTACTCGATAATCGATATTACACCTATACTTATATTACGTGTATCATGCCGATTTTAAGATATCTACACCACACACGTGTGTATAATCACAAAAAAAAAAAAATAAGAATAATAATAATTAAAAACCAATATGTTATTGGGTTAAATCGGTATGCTATGTATGGTTTTTTGGTCGTGATATTTAAAAATAATTTGAGTTATTTCAAGTTAATAAAAAAAAAAAATCTTTTTCAAGTTGAGTAATAATTTAATATGATAATTAATATACAAATTATCTATTTATTGAGATGTGTAATAATCATGTTTTCGTGAAACATAAATAATAACCAATATTTTTAATGAATTAGTATTTTGCATTCAATATCTTGTTTTGTATGGGGGGAGGAAGATATAAAACCCATTTAAGGGATACCAGTTTATTTTGAATATGGTACACCTTGCGTATGCCTATATAATTTTGATAATAAAATTTCGTAATATATTTAAGTCATGATATTTAAAGTTACTTTTTTAGTATTTAATAATGACAACTATAATAACACAATTCACATTTTCCTATGTGCAAATTACTCTATATCTAATATTTTTACAAATGTATGTTTTAATATTTAATGTTATGTTATTACTAAAATATTGTTATAATTTTAAATTTGTTCGTAGGTATTCGAACGTAGTATATTTTTTAGCATATATTACATAAATAACTCGTTTTAACTATAAAGTCATTGATAATATAATGTGTAGTATCGCCACGTCAACGCTAAAATAATTATTGTTCACCGCAATACCTATACGATTAAATATATTATTTGTTTATCCGCGATTGATCAAACACAAAACCGAAGAATTAATGTGATTAAATTAACCTAGGGTCAACCTTATACGAAATCCTGTTAGAGATAAAATCGTGTGCTGTCTGTCGTCGTCGTAAAATGAAAATATAAGTCGTAAATCCGTTAAAAAAAAAAAAAAATAAAAAACGTAGGTATAAGAAATATTGGAAACAACACTATGTACGTATACTGATTTAACGTTTAGATTATAACGACGTATATAATAATTATTATAATTTCGTAGTTAATATTTTGGATAGTATCAACAAAAAAAAAAAAAAAATGAAATTATTCGAAATGAACAACATACGTACAAATATTATCACAAATGCGGTTTAAACTTATCTTACAAAATATTCTATTACTGATGTAATATAATTCGATTAGATTATGAAAAACCTTTTTTAAAAGAAAGCTGATTTTGCTGATGGCTGTGTCTCTGTTTTAGGATGCCAGTTGAAAGAGAGGATATATAATTATTTAATTCATATTTTTACGCGGCGATAAACCATTTTTAACGAAAAACAATTCTGAGTAGATAACTCGTATTTTTGCTCAGTCGCCAAGGTAACCCAGAAATCAACAAAAATTATACAATAAATTGCCAGATTTTCTTATTTATTTAGAAAATAACAAAAAAAAAAAAAAAATAAATCATCACTTCGAAGAGCCGATTTGGTAAAAAATGCTTCAAGAAAATGTCTATAAAGTTTTTGATTTGGAGAAAAATGTCTGATAAATATGTTGTTTACAATCACAAACACAAACACAATAACAAAAAAAGTTGTTTAATTTATATTTTTGAAAAAACAGTCAATGTGTTTTTTGCAAAACCAGTGGTGTCCTCGTTTCACTCAGAATCCAAAATTATAATGATTTGTTTCAGCGGAAATAGTCGACAATTTTTGTATTTTAAAAATCCACAAATAAAGGTCAGACCATCGTGATAATACTATATAAAACTATCATATCTGCGTGCAGTGGCAGCTCGAAGTATTTTTACCCTGAATCACTGATTTAATTTTCCATCCATCTACCTCATTAAAAAGTTACCTCCACTCTGTCACAAATGTATTGAAATTTGTTATCTTTCAATAAAATTCGTCAAATTTATCAAATTTCCGTAGTCTAAAATTCTTTTAAATGACTTTTGTTTTGTAAAAACATAATAATTTTTCTCATATTTCTGAACACCCAGAAACCCACCCGTTTTTCAAATATAACTCCTTCAAGCCGCCACTGTCAGACTGTCCGTGCACCTATACTAACGCGTTTTAGAGATCATAAAATTCAAAATATTTTAAGTATACATACATATAATACATATTAAAGGTTATTAGTTTATTACTTATTAAATATTAGGTACCTATATATTATGCACTCGTATATTATAATGTGCGGATTATCTTTTGAGAGCACGTCTATATTAATATTATAGAAGTCTAGACACATGTAAGCGTAAGAAATTATGGTGACGTGTCTATTATAATTATTATTATAATATTATGTTCATGCAATATTCATATTATCTCGATACGCATGCAAGTTCAGTTTAAATTTTTTTGAAATAATTAACTTTTGCAAAAAAACAAAACACGAATAAAATGACCTATATTATATGCGTTAGATATTTTTTTATTATTATCTAACACATATGTTAGGTATTTTTTTGTAATATTTAAAAAATAAAAACCTTTTTAATTAATTAATTCCGTTACTTATACATACAAAAAAAACTATTTCAATTATATTTTAAAATTGCATTAAATATTTCTATTATAGTTGCGTTTTTATTCAAAAGCCGTAAACGTTTCGAGAAGATTTTCTTGTAGTTTTCTTAACAAATATAAAAATATGGTAATTTTATATAAATTTTGTTGATTCCTGAGTTATCTTGGCAACAAGGAGAAACAAGATTAATAATACTCTACTCAAAATCGTTTTTTGTTAGTAACGAGTCATCGTTCCAAACAGATAAGGTTGGACTGGCCCAACGAGACACTAGAAAATTTCTCGCTGGACAACCTAAATGTGGCCACTAAACGAAGTTCGTAAATTCGTATGAATTATTATTTTCCCATTTAATGGTTTTGAATAGGTATATTAGGTATTTTTCTCATCGATGTAACTGAATTCTAGGAAAACTATAATTCAATCCGCGGTCACACTATGATTATAGTAGAGCGTGATATTCACTCTCGTAATAGCAGCTCTCACGAAAGTATCATTGTATAGGAACTCTATTATAGTTATTGTCACGTTTTTATTTTTACACTCCCATACTATCATGAGTATGAATGCATAATAGTTGATAGTAAATGTGTGTGGTAGTGATAGAACTTTCACTATGCGACTTGTATGATATCACATTTGCTCTATCATGCATATGGTCAATTTTTGTTTTCATTTATTTAAATTTTGATGTTATAATAATTACCTATATAAGAAAAGTGATATATTACATATTATACATTATAATATATTTTGGAAATTTACTGTTATATAAACAGGTAGTGATAGTGATAGCAAACTATTATATTCTTTCAAAAAGCTACTATTATGCTTTACTATCATCGTGCGACCGTGGCTTAACGAAAGACCAAGGCAAGCCGTATCTGTAGTTTATCTGTGTATCTTAATATACATTTTTAACTTTACATTATACACATTTATATTTGTATACGATGCAGATATAAATTAAATTACTCAATATAATGTGTCCTCCCTTCCAACTTCCATTCTAAAACAGTGGCACACACACATATTAATAGCATAGGCTTTTTTTTATTTGCATATAGGTAGGGAGATAGTTGTTGAAATATATTATTTCGGAAGTAAATTAAATGAAAATATACTTTACAAAGTAATATATAATATATATTATACGTGATATTGCTTTGCGTTGCATACAATACAGAATTTCTGTAAGTAATTAGAGGAATTCCGGCGATAAATTTTAGAATATGCGTGTGAGTGTATAATATGTGTAATGTGTACAATAATTATAAAGTGTGTAATATGTACAACTTATTCGAGTTAAAGATACTCACCGTATATATAATTTGCACCACTGCTGTAAGTTTATAATGAAGTTTCTCGGATACAAGCACACGCATTTCGTTGGCATTAGTAACATATTGTTATATTATACTATAGTGTGAATATGTGGAAATGGAGTTTGCCGAATGTTTTGCCTTCGAGAAACCTTTGCGACCGTATTATCATTAGTATAATTTATATGATAAGTTCACGAGAACGCCTGAACAAAAGTTTAAATGCCACTGATACACATATATAGAGTCAAAATAATATTATTATATTACCAGCGGAGTGTGTGCATATAAATGAAGAAGTTTGAATACAATATATTCAGAAAACCGCGAGATAATATTATTATTTGATGGTCGATTTTCTGATGGAAACTTAACAATCAGTATATTCCTAAATCCATCTGAACCGAAACTATCGATGATATCGATAAAACATCGAACTACTCAGCAAATTTGTGTGATTTAGGAACACTTTTTTGTTACAGCTCAACTGGTGTTAGAAAGTAAAATACAAATTTTGGCGTGAACAATTGTTATCAAATCCATTGGTTCGTTTTAGTCCAACAGGAAAATACCTGTTTACTGATAACTCCCTCCATAAAGTCCCCTCCAATAATCCGTTGGAGGATTTTTCAGCAGTTGTTATTAGGAACGATAAAATCCAACAGCTGACCAATCCGATGAATTTAGAAACATATAAAATATCGAACAGAATAGTTGCAAATTTTAAATTTCCAGAAACTTAGATTTTAAAGTTTACTGTATTCTCGTTTGTTCAAATATTTTCAATCTATGGATTTTCGCTAGACTATAGTGGGTACACGCCGAAATGAACGCATACTGCACTAAACAACAACAAAAAAAAGCCGACATACTTCGCACCATGGATGGGCTGTTGTTGCAGTCGGAAAGTTGGAAAGATATAGAATACAGTAAGATGTAATTTGCGAAAGAAAAACTATTCTTATTCGTATAATATATTTCGGCAGAATTAAACGAAAATTAAAATCGAGTTGGGTAAAGAATAATATAAAATTCTAAGATTTGTGTACGATCAATATTCGCTCGTTCTCCGCTCGTTGAAAATTTCCGGGTACGCCAACGTCCCGGACCCTTCAATTATTATTGAATACGGTATTCTTGTCGCCGGCGCGGGCCGTACAAAATTATATCGTGTGCGCGGCGTGTGTGTCGTCGGCAAAGCGGCGGCGATCCGAAAAGAAGATTTATGTAAGTCGGGTGTTGGTTCGGCTCGGTTCTCCCGACCGGCCGTAGGTAATACAAACGTGTCGTATTCGGGCTTTCCCACGGGTCCACTGTTTCAGTTATTTATTTTTCTCCTCTTCGGAAGAGAGCTATTGTTATTGTCTTTTTACAGGTGTAGAAGAGCGAGTGCTGCACACGGCGATGTGCGCGCGCTCGCGATCATCGCGGGCGCGTGTTTGTGTGTGTGTTTACGCGCGCGTGTGTGATCGAGTATATTTGTAAATTATATTGGACCTGACCAAACCAGTTATACACACACACACACACACCCAAGTTTTATTCGCTTCTTAATTCCTCATTGTTTTTTTTTTATATATATATTGTGTTTATATATTTTTTAACGTACGCACACACTCGCACGAGTATATATATTCGTTTGCACTTCTCCGAACGTCTTTTGTCCAAATGCCGACTTCGATCCGTATCTCTACGTTTTATCCACTACCACCACCACCACTACCACCACGACAGTGCAGCGTACCAGTTTATTATATATATATATATGTATATGTATAGGTACTCCAAATTCGATTGGGAAACAATAGATTGGATTGGCGGCATCGGCTGCCGGTACAAAGTCACAAACGCACACGAAAACACATAATATTATTATGATGCACACGCGCCGGGCACCAAACTAAAATATAATATAAAATACCGGCTCAGCTGGTTGAAAATCTGATGATTTTCAACGATATCGATCGATGTCGTGTAACGATAATATTATGTTACGATTTGTCGACTAATTATTATCGTTTTGGTGTCTACAGCTATAAGCTGACCACACAGTCTCCCTCCCCCCAAAAGAAAGTATACTGTGGCCCCTCTAATTATCTGTATTCTGTACCTCTAAACCATTACCTATACACCAAAATTCTTATTGAAATGCATACATTTTATATACGTGGACCGCGATCGTTTTAACCAGCGGTTCTCAAACTGTGGTACGCGTACCACTGGTGGTACGCGGTAGGCAACATAGTGGTACCCAGAAAACCGCATGGCGATAATGTTGAAAATGGATAAATAAATATTTAAACTAACGTTTTTAAATGATTTAATACTGTTTTATGTATATTAATCTTTGAAATAATTAAATTGTAATAATTTACTGTCATCGGTATGGAATAATTTTATTTTGGAATTTTAAATTGTTACACTTTTAGTCATAAAGGTTCTCAAATTTTGAGAACCTCTGGCTCTTTAAGCTTTTAACTAATAAAATATGCATAATATTTGAGAAATACCACCTAATTTTCCCAGGGGCCTTCAAAATCGATCTTTCGGCGTATGCCTTGTAAATATTGTTTAATAGGGGCTGTAATTTGTTTAATTTTTCGTCGCATCTGATTGTCTGGATTCTTTAACATGGTATTTGGATAAATTTTTGACGACTTTTATTTTTGAAATTATGTAAAATCAAACGAACTGTTGTCTAAAACCGTAAATTTCAATAGCTTTTAGTACCGTACTACAGTTGGCGTTTAGAAATCTGAAACGCGTATACGTATTAGTTGGTAGGCAAACTAAAAATATTCTGCAGCAGTAGCTACGCGTATAAAACCGATAATATGTTTTGTACGATTCATGTTTATGCCTGTTTTCAACAATTTATACGACACGAGTTCAATAAACTTGCATTATTAAACGTATATCGTGTAACAATTGGTAAAGTATGACGTAAACGGACGGAGGACAATTTATTATTATTATTATTGTTGCAATTTTCGATGATAAAAAGCAATACATTTTTAACCACGTCGATTAATGAAAATAGTTGGTTTTTCTATAATTATTTGTTTTTATCGCTGGCTAATCGTTTTCTCTCTGGAAGTACCTATACCTAGGCTATACGACCTGAGCTGTAAGGTACCTACACGAATCTTTTCTGCGATTAAACGTTGACGCGGAACAGCACGTTCGGTAGTTTTTAAGTACGTGCGGATAGAAAGCGATTTACAATTTGCGTTTTCAAACTGTTTATTGCCGCGGCTAGAACGCGATATAAACGATTAATCACAGCTAGAAATACAACTATTCCGATTTATCGCTTTTACCGTTCGAACGTATATATAATATACCTATATAATTATATTGAAACCCACAATCGCAAATATGTTTGAGATGGAATTTGGCATCTGGGTGTTAATAATAATAATATTAGAGCTATTTAATTTTCGGTGGATTTATATAAGGTATAATAATGCAATATATAATAATATTATTATCAATTTATTTTTATTTTAAATTCCACAAAACTATAATTATTTGCCTTATTTGTAACCCGGTCTTCAGAAGACAAAATTAGATTGTATACTTAGAATGCTTGTACCTAGTAAAAATTGGACGACATATTTTCAAAATATTTAAAATATTTTAGTAGATACATCTATATAGCCGATAGTTTCACTGAAATATTAATTATAGACGTGTTTCATTGTTTCACGTGATCACGAGTGCCTATAAATAATATATTATAATGATATGCGATATTAATTTCAGATACTTCACCCATGTCGTCTAGAAACTTCCCGGCATCGTTCTGGAACAGCAATTATCACTCACATCACTCCACTAGTCAAGTATACCATCCGGACACAATGTACCATCACCACGGTACCGCCGGTAACCCGGCAGATCCATGGCAAACGCACTATCAACAATATACCGCAGCGGCCGCTCATCACCATCATAGGTAATATTATTAAACAAAGTAAATTACAATACAATTTACTTTTAACAGATAATAATATTATGGACATTATTAACGCTATTAAAAAATAAAACACTAGTTATCTATTTTAGAAAAAACTCGTTAACATTTCCAAAGAAAAAATAATTGTATTTATTATACATTCATATAGTAAAATTACTTGACTCTGGTTTTTGTAGGATTGGTATAACAATAATATTTTATATAATAACTAATTGCATGACCTATATTGTAAAAATACGAGTGAGCAACAGAATTCCATCACTAGAGTCAAATTTTCTTACACCCAAGCGCGTCTGTTGGGGGGGGGGCAGAAGGAACATGTACCCTCAGAATTTTCCGTGTCTATTATACATTTATACATAAAATATTAGGTATAATTTTTATTAAATATGTTGAATAAATAAAATTGATGATCATAGTGTTCGTTACTAACTTCTTGTTTTATAAATTTAAGATAATCACAGAAATTAATTTTATTCATCAACATATTATTATATTAATATAAATGAAAAATATCTCGGTGATATTATCACCTATTTATCGTATATATCGTGGATTTTACCAAAGTTGTCAGGCCCGTGACCACGGTTGTGACCTATTCAGTTTTATCAGAGATTAACTGGGTTATGATGCTTTGTAAATATAGATAAAAAATTCAAGATTTAAATTTAGTTTAAAATATTGTTAACGAATTTTTAAAAAATAAATATAATTTACAGTTCTTGTTTTAAGATTTAAACAAACTAATATAAACTTTAATATAGTCAATTGTATTAATTAAATAATAAAGTACAATATTTATGTTATATATTTTTTTCTTTTTATTAGAAATTGACCTACCTACATTACCATCTACCTACTTCTTAGTTATTTTATAAATAATTATATAGTTATGAAGAATACCATTGTAGGAATACAGTCATATAATATAATGCTATGTACATTTATATGCAGCAGTTAACAGGTTAATAGGAAAGTCAATATTATTGAAACAATTCAGTGACCCCCCCCCCTCTGAATTTTCGAAGATGGACGCCCTAGCTCCTACCTATTTCGTGTAACAGATATATTCTGTTCAAAATAATAAATAAAACTATGCTATACTACAATCAATTACTTCCAAAAAAAAAAAAAAAATAGTGAAATCTGATCACTTCGCATACTTTTCGATGCTTCGCACGATAGGTGGGCCACTGTTGCAGGTGAGAAGTTGGAAGTTGGTGTAGGAGAAATTTAATGTATATTTGTACTCAATGATTAACAATTGCTAACGAAAACGATTTTGAGCTGAGTTTGGTTAACAGTATTGCTTTGCAACAATATATATGCCATAATATGGTAAAATTGTTGCATAATGTGCATTATATTTTGTTTTTAATAATATTTGTTAAATATTATACTTATTTCCTTATTTATTATAAAAACTCCCGGGAAAATTAGAAAATTACCTCCCTAAAATACCACTTAAATAAATTTCCTTTCAAAAAAAGTGCTGTAACTGAAATTTGAAGGTAGAAAAGTTGTCCACAGAAAAAAAAAATCAAAATAATATAAACATCATTGTAAAACCAATACATTTCTCAATCCGTTCAAAATCTAAAATAATAGGGGTGGGGTTGAAAGTTGAAACTCTAAAGACATATCACTGATATACTAATGTCATACATATACAAAATTTCATCCCTTTGATAAATCCCCTCCATTCACAACAACATGGTTAAATTCATATTAAAATTCAACCCCACTTTAATCAGCCTATAAAACAATTCTAGTTCACAAATTTGAGCTTATTTGATGCTGAGGGAGCTGTTAAAAATGTTAAAATGTAGCAGCAAAATTATATACATTTGTATATAGCAAACAAAATGCAGTGCAATAATCTATTTTCGGGGAAAATTCGACAAAAAATAAGTATTTATAATAACGACTACTCATAGGGAATGACGTAATACGGAAAGAACAAATTTCCCACATAGGCGTATATAATACGTACGTGTAACTTCGTCTTCGGGTTTTTTATTTTTTTTCCTCGTGTAAAGATAAAATAGTGAAATTCAATAACTTATATACCTATTACTAATACAGCGATTATTCGAAAAAAACATTATCACAATGATTGAAATTGTATAAAAATAATAAGATAGTAAAATAATATAATAGAAATAAAATAATAATATTCTTAATAAGAAAAAAACATTGGGCATTATTGATCGGGTACCTATATTTTTAGCTGATCTCGAAAAAAATAAAATTATACAGGGTGTCCCGAAGAAATCTGACAAATGCGATAATTTTTTAACTGTTAAATTATTTTTAAGTTTTTCTTTTTTAGCCATTAGTTTTCTACCATTTTTTGAAGTTTCTCATAAATTAAATTGCTTTCATTACCTTAGTATAGTGCAGTTATAAATAATTTTAATAATTTCAATACCTATTTTTCCAGGAAAAAAATGTTGTCAATGATTTTGATTATTCGAAAACTATCAAACATAAACTATGGAATTGTTCGAATAGTACCTATTGATTATATAACAAATAGTTTATCGAATACCGAATAATTTGGATTAACCATCGTTCGGTTTACTAATAGTTTAGTCGTCAACGACTATCGAATAGTTTGTTAGTGTCTATCACTAATTATAAGTTATAACCATAACCTATGGTTTATGGTTATTACCTATGTATACTTACCTACGTATTTATGCGTACAGCACATATTACAGCTTTGAAAAATTAATCTTGTATTAAAAATAATTTCCATGATGTCAGTTGGCGGCCCTGGCATAATTGATAAATTTTAGTGCCTACGTATAGGAATTATTATCCGTCTACTATATTATTTTTGGTCTAAAACGGCATCCGCGCTACATATAGCTACTCTCGATTTGGACATTCATTCTGTTGTTCTTTCGAATCTCAAAATCGCTTCTCTAGTTAAATAATATTGAAGTGATATTTATATACACAACACGCATTACACATACTAAAAAATATGGACATATTTCGCACAATGAGTGGGCCACTGTTATAGGTGAGAAGTTGAGAAGGTATAATATAGAGAGAAATTTAATGTATATCTGTACGCAATGATTAATCTTTTCTAATGAAAAACGATTCTGAGCGGAGTTCGGTTATGCATGTTTAAAAGGCCGTAATATTTACGATTTTCGTCAAAATTCAATATTGAAATTTTTATAAAAAAACAAAATATTACATTAAACTCAACTTTTTCTTATTGATCACTAAGTACAACTTATAATGAACTTCCTGTTAAATTTCCAAATATTTATTTTTAGTCCAATAATTTTATTCTCAGAGTACCTACCAAATAAATTTTACGCATAAAACTCGCAAAATTAAAATTTCTGATAGCCTAAAATGACTTAAATGTTTTGAGTCATTTTTTTATCATGTCTATAAAAGGAAAATATAAAATGTCTATCAAAATTTCAAGTCTCTACGAATATTTTATCACTGAATTACAATAAAGAAAAAAAAAATGAAAATAATAAAAGTATTATCTTCGTAAATTTTCCCTTTTTCCCAATTATTACTAAATCGTTTTGAAAATCAAGAAAAGGCCTCATAAATGTACCGCCCCAGGAGAATTCCCTCTCAGACTTGATATATTGGAGTAAGATTTATGGTAGAATTTGTGTACACAGTAAAAAGAAAAAAAAAATAATAATAATACCTAGTAAACGTCTTTGTAAAATCAATACATTCTTCGTTACACTCAGAATCTAAAATATACATTTCCAACTAGAGGAATAATTCAGTATTTTTTCGGCTAATTTCGATACAATTTGTTTCCCAGTCGTAAACCGAAAGAATACTATAAAATATTTAATAAATGTTAAATTCGGGTGTTTTATAATGAATGAAAAACACAAATTATATGTACATGTTTTAGACCGAACCGCGCTTTCCAAAATCAAAGAAAAATATCCAGAATGTGACTTAGTCTTCTACAAAGAGAAAATAATTAGTTGTTGTATGTAACTGTCACATCATTTCACAATTCATTGTACTTACTATTATTACAGACTATAATATTATTATTTTTTTAATTTGATTATGATATATTAATTTTGTATTAAAAGTTTAATGTTTCTGAATTAAATTGGAATAAATTCGATCATTGTTACCAGGTCTAAAAATGTTTAGGACCTAAATATTTAAATATATAGTGTATTAAATTGTATGTATAGCCGCGTAGCTAAGAAATGAGGTTTTTAATTTACTACCCTCTCGTAAATTTTCGAAACAGAGGTAATCACGATGACTCATATTTGCTATATTTTTTTCTTGTGGATTTATGTATAAAAAATAATTTAGGTGGGTAAGTTTATTAAGCCCTTCAGATACCTCGACAGGAGTAAGGTGAAGTAATTGTCCATTTCCTCTTTTGGATTTGAATTAACAAATCAATGTAGGTATACTGAATTTATAGTGAAATCAAGGATGCCGAAACGTTGACATTATTGATTTTTGTAATTATATTTTTTAACGTTTTCGACTTATTAATAATGACGTGTACTCTCGCTCCCTCTCGATAATATGTTTCCGTTTGTCCAGGTCACGTATTTTTGTGTATATTCAGGTAAAAATTATATTATTATACTAACATTCGTGGTGCTTTTATCGCAGGGCCGTACACGAATACCATCACCACCACAACATGGCCGCTCAGTACGGCAGCCTGCTGTTACCGCCGCCGACTTCGAGACTGGCGCCGCCGCCGCCACCGCCACCGCCGCCCTCTAGTCACCCACACTCGCACCAGTATCACGGTAAAGGCGGCATGGATCCGTGGCCCAACAGCGCCCATCATCCGGCCCTGGACACGGGCACGTCTTACTCGTCATACCCCACTGTTCCAGGTAACACACAGCATTTATTTTACTAACATTGTACTATACCTATAGTTGGTTTATGCACTAAAATAATTTGCGCCCTCACCTTATTTTTCCGTGGATTTCAGTGACTGAACCAAATTTTTAAGTCTGCAATTAGCTGAGTTACAGCAATGGTTGCAATTTAATGACTTCACATAGTTATAACTCGGCTAATTATCGATTTAACAACTACAATTCATGAAAAAATACGAAAAAAATAAGTATCTGTGATCAAAATAGGAGTTTTCTAAAAAAAAAAACTAAAAGTCGTTATGCGCATCATGCACTATATGGAGTGACATAAAAATAGTTTAATTATTGTAACTAGTGCATGTAATTATTGAGTTTGTAATATACAAAAAATAAAATAAAAAAATATAGAATTCAAATATAATATTTAATCTGCACAAGTATTTCCAAACTAGCAATTATATACTATATTTGATATATAATGTATAAGTCACCTTTATTATAATACGATTATTTATTATTCTAAAAATGTCTTTGAAAATAAATAAAACTTTTCCCCTGAGATCCCCACGGACTTTTTCAGTGTACGACAATACCAACTGAATAATAACACCTAATATATAAGTGACAAAACTAAAAAAAAAAAAAAATCTGATCTCTATAGATGAGTTAACATTGCAGTAAAAAGATAACTTATTATTATTACTTCCAACTCCCGCATTATATTTATATAAAACAGTGTCATCGTGCTCTGTTATCAAATTATCGGTAATATGGTATTTACTATTTAAAGTTGAAAATCGGTAATTAGTATACGCACATTCAGTAAATTAACTTAAAAAATGAAATACTTTTTAAGTTGTGTCACTGCAGTAGTATTATATTTTTAGAAATTATTAAATCATCGTCAAATATCGTCGGCCCAACTATCGTGTTTGTTTTTGAATTTTGATTCGTTGTAGTTGTTACATGTGGAAAATAATCGATTTAATTTCTATCCACGTCAATCCAATATAATTTATTAGTCCTTTATTAAATTAATTAAAAAAAAAAAAAAGAAAAAGAAAAAAGAATACGTATAATGTATAATAATTCATTAGGTATTCGAACTCCCACCGCAGCAACGGGTTTAACTATACGTCTCGAAAGAACAAAAACGTAATTACCAACCAACCATACAAATATAATACACTTAATAATAATAATAATTAATGTTTTATTATATGAAAAACCGCATCCGTTAAATGCCTCACAAATTTATACTATAGTAATATTTTATTCATATGTGTATATATAGCGTGTATACTGTATATACGTCATCACATCGCCGACAATGAAAACTGCAATTTTTTTTTCTCATTTGAAAAACCTCGCAGGTGTTAAAATCTATACGTACACTCTACAAATAAATATATTATATATTATTTACACACAACGAGCACCGCACTATACAAAAGAATTGGTCGGAATCATCGTGTTTGTATCTATTTGCACGCGCGTATACATACAGAGTGTTTCTTTTTATTAAGATATCAGTATAATATTTATCGATATCAGATTATCAGCGATATAATACATCTATCTATTTTTCGTATAATAAATATATGTACGATATTTTCAAAATATTACCTATACCCATATTTCTTATGCCCAGGAAGGGTTTTGTATATTTTATATTTATGTTCATATGTAAGACAACCCTCGAAATAAATTTATTTTCGAAAATCTAACGTAAAGACCATAACTATTGTAATATATATATATATATATATATATATATATATATAAATATTTATATTGACTCTTCTTGCATTAAATCAAAGATTATAATAAATATAATATAATATTTTTTTAAATTTTCAAATTTATCGTTTAAAATTATTATTGTCATTCAAAATCTTCGCTGGCTTGTGTGAATCACCTAGTGCCGTATGTAGGAGAGCGCGAAAGATCCATCCCCTCGATCCGTGTTTGTTGTATACAACAACAAAATAATACTTATACCGTAACGTTTTATGTTATGTATTTTATGACTGGTCGAAATAGCACCTATTTAATTTGTTTTTGACTTAGATGTGTATTGTATTTAAAAGTATGCATTTCACCGGATCAAAAAAAGCTATCTAGGATTTTTGCGCTGGTTCTGGACAGCGTTTTTTATATTATTATAGGTACATCGAGATGGCACTTTTTGACTTTCTGCATCTTTCTAAAAATGTTGCTAGTATATTATCGACGCGTAGAGTAAAAAAACTGAATTCGGGAGAGAAAAAATAGCACGGGGGGCGTCCACGATTCGGTGTTTTATCCATAGTGCCCGCCCCCCACTCATTTATGACTACGGTACATGAATCGCCCTGTGTATATATATCTAATCGTAAAATATTATATTTATGTTTGCGATGACGGACGTTATCGCTTCCCAGAGTGATTATAATAATAATTTATTATATTATACAGAAACGTCTGTGGCGAACGGCGACGACGGCGAGGGAAAATGTCGGCATATTAAAAAAAAAATTTCGAAAACGCGGTTTCGTAAACTGCAATAATAATATAAACGGACCGTCATCGCCGTATAACGCGTGTACCTAAAAATTGCAATTTGAGAATCCGTATCGTCGTCGTGTTATATTATATAGACGCGCACAGAAGGCCGCCGCGGCCACGTGTATATGCATGTATAATAATAATAATAATAATAATATAAACAGACACAATGGACGATAATTTAGCAATTGCCTTGGTTTCGCAGTTCTTTATTATTATTATTATTTTTTTTAAACCGGAGAACCGACGCGAAACGAATAATGATAGAGTATGTGTGCGCGCAGTGCGTGTATATGTATAGTATAGACGTTTGTATATATAATAATAATATATAATATATATGTGTGTGTGTGTGTTTATGTATGACGATAGAGAAAAAAAACGAGTCGGCTCATGGACTTCGGGTCACGTGACCGACTGCATTTCTGTTGCTGACGACCGATTTGAAACTGCCAAGCACGTCATCATATCGTCCATATAAAGTTAATTGAACTAAAGACCTACATCGCGGCCGCCATCTCTCTAGACGTCGTCGTCGTTCAATAATAATAATAATAATAATAATAATCATCTCATTTTGATAAACACGCGGTACCGCGTCGTGTTGTTTCGCGATCGTATTAAGTGCAACGCGCTCGAATCGTTTCGATGTGACGATGTCTACAGTATGATATATACACGTGTATACATACGCAAAGCCCGCGATTTACGAAATGTTTGCTGGCACACGTATTTTCGATATAGATTACTGCTGCGGGCGCGAAAATATTCGCTCGGGGGGGGGAGGGGGAAACAATCGGACCGTTGTCGAATTCGCGGTCGACGCATCGCGTTGATATTTATATTATACGCAGTATTAAGGCGGTGAAAAGCGATTCGTTTTTTTTTTCCCATGCATATATTATACGCGTGGACCTGCAATAAACTACGATAGTTAAACAAAGGCGATAAACTTTCAACAGACCAATTTTCCGGTTTGAACAATTATTCGACTGCTTGTGTACGTTTCTTTTTTGCGACGGTATTTTATGAGAAAAATATTTTCATATTTTCATACTTTTACGCCGTTTTAGTTTATTTCAAAAAGATAAACTCGCCATAGGTACGTTAACTAAATAAAATAATGCACAAATAATGCTTCCTACATATAGTGACGAGAGATCGAAGAATTCAAACATGATTACGAAATCAAAATCGGGCAAGCAGGGGAGTGGATGAATTATTGGTCTAGAATTCTGGACCGTCATATTTGGCGGTAAAAATGACCGCGACCCTCTTCTTAAATGGGTATCGGACATCAGACACGTAGAAAAGTCTTATCGTTAAGGTGGTCATTAAAAGGTAAAATATTATTTTCAAATTTTGCAAAATTGGAAATCATCTGTAAAACCGTTTCCGACCCGCTCAAACGTTGTTTTTATACAAATATCGATAGCTAATTATTGAAATATTTATTTCCTATAAGCTACGTTTGAACATGTTTGAACCAATTATATTTCACGTTCAACACGTCATATCGGTACTCCGTTAGATCATATCGCTATTCAATGAAATACTGAGTTGGATTATTAGCGATTTTCAGTCGCCAAAAACTGCAATTGACATACCGATATTTAATTGCTGCACGCGTGTTCTAGGAAGTCTTTTTCCTTATTTTGACTACATTGAATTGATAATAAGTACATAATATATTAATGTAATATATATGTACGTACACATGTCTATACCGTAGACCTAAAGATATTTGTTCCGAGATTCTTTAATAAGTGCAATTATTTATTATTATTTTATAAATTACATAGATATTCAACATTATAAATAAGTGAACTAATTAGTTAATTAATAGCATCATATTCTTTATATGTTATGATAACGGTATCGTCTTTGGATCGCTATTAATTAAAAACGAAACGTCTTTACGGATATAATTGATTATCGATTTATAAACTTAAAACATTTTTTTTTTTTTTTAGCGTACGGTTGTAAAATGTTTACGATTCCGAATAGATAGATGCTTTTTCTTATAAAAGCCGGTAGAATTAAATACTTGTATAGAAATGTCTTTTTCTTTCCGCGATATTTTTAATGCTGTAATTTTTCTGATGCAATACGATTTGCAAATAATTAATTGTTTTTTTTTTCAATTTTGATTTTATCACGCGTGCTTATTTTTGTTAAAATTTGTTATTTTTTTTGTATAAACAACTTTTCTACCAGAAATCTTGTTCCAATTTTCGAACGCAAGTTAGAACTTCTAAACATAATTTTCGAAATTTTCTAATTTTCGAACGCAGAACTTCTAAACATATTGGAAAAACAGAGAAATTTACGAATTTACGGTTTTATTATTTTCGATATTGTCTTTTATTATTATTATTATTATTATTATCGCTTTTATTTATTCATCAAATACTATAAAGTGTAATATGGTACATTTTTGTATAGTGTTAATCGTTTGAAATGTTGGATAATATGAATTCCTCTTTAAAATATTCAACCGAGTTAAAATAATATCTTTTTTTTTTTTTTTTTTTTTTTTTTTTTATTATCGTGTTGTCGTTCATTGTTACTGCGCTCCGGAAACGCATTATTATTGCAGTTTACGCGAAACCGTAGGTAATTCAGCTCTAGTGTAATTAATTAACATAACTCGGTTGTCTCGAATGTCAGACGAACCGCTGGGGGAGGAAAATTAACCACAAACTTTAATATAGCCTTTCGGCAACCCGCAACCAAATAAATAAGTTAAGTTTAATAATATAAAGACGCATAATTAATGTTATTCGTATAAACATAATAATATAGTGAAAATGTTTTTTTTTTTTTTTTTAATCGTACTCGTATTTGGTGTTGTGAATTTACAGCAATATATTCCAATAAAACTTCCTTTATCGCATACCGAAACGGTGTGAACATTAAGTCTATATAACAAATATCACGTTTAAGACCGCATAACATAATAAGCCAATTTTCTCTCACGTTAGAGATTCGATGAACATTTTATGGCAGTTTTCCTGACATTTTCTTTCGTATAATATGCATAAATATGACTATCTATATTCTACATGATGGCGTTGTTTCGTCAGTCGTATTAGTATGTACCATAATAATTGATGTGTGTCGTAAATTATTTTTTTTACAGTACTTATACTGCACAAGGTGTTTTTATAATCATGCTCATCTCATTTTCATCGTTAAATTAAGCGTATATTCAAATTTTGATTTTTGGAATTTTTAAATGTGTTTATAGTTAAAGACGGTGTGCGAATATTTAAATTGTTCATGACAATTAAAATCCTGTGGAAATACCAAATTTAGTTTTTTAAAATAAAAACCGACACATTTTAATGCAATTATGAATCAGAAAAAGTTGATGTTTTTTAATTGAAATTTGAACGAAAAGTTTCTGAGTTATTTTGCTTTAAATAACTGAGGATACAAATGATATTATTTACTTTTGTTTTGAAAATTACTTATGAGTGTATTAATCCATAATAGCATTTTGTAATATTAAAAAAATGTCTAAGTATATACTTAACTAAGTAGTAATTGTTAACAATTATTTTATATTTGCATACCTAATTATAATTACCAAACTCATCGTGTCCATTTAATATGTATTTATAATAGACTATTATCTTTAGTATTTAAAGTAGAATAACTCAAATACTTTTCGTTCAAATTTCCTATACAATACGTCAACATTTTCAGAAATATCATCTGATTCACAATTAAAATAAAAATATGTAGGTTTTCGTTTAAAAAACAAAGTTGGTATACTTATTAAATGTTGTGAAAAATCTATGTATTCGAAAATATCGTCTTTAACTTTAACTCCGAAATTTCAAAAATCAGAATTTAAATAAATTATGCATAATTTAAAAATATAAAATTAAGTAATTATGCTTAAAAATCACTCTGTATATTGTTACTAAATAATATTTGTCCACGACATTAGACGTTATTTCAACATGATGTATAATGTTAATGGCGTGAATTGGCGAGAGATTTTTTTTTTTTAACAAAAACTGTTGACCGGCAAGCGCATAAGTTATACAAACGCAAATCGATCGTTTTATACGTATATGCGACAGACGAATCGATGGCATAGTATCATGATGGAATATATATTATGTTGGTAATCGTCCTGTATAGTTTTTATTATTATTATTTTTTTTTTACGCACGAGACGCCCGATAAACTGTTCGTCGTATCCCTTTAGACGCGACGGTTAAACGCACGGAAAATGATCGTTTTCTGCGGTTTTCTTCGCGACTTTCGTCCAGTTTTCTTTTGTCGCGACGTGGACTTCCGGTGTCTCCCATATTATTATATTATTACAATACCGACGCGTATCCTATTTACGCGAGCTATTCGCGGGAGAGCAGGCAACGTAAATACTCGGAAGCGCGTCGGGTCGCGTGACCGTCGGATTTAAGGACCCCGGGACTCGATGCGTATAAACCGCCTCCGCGGGCATCGCGCCGTCACACGCACACGGGAACCGGAGAGCGTATCGATCAGCGGCAGCAGCTCTCGAGGGGTACATACCACACGGGCGGCGAGCCGCGCCGTGTCATTGGTCCGGAATGACCACACCTACACGGTCGGGCGACGTTACCACGGCAACCGCGGTCATAAATATAAATGCCGAAATGATGTTGTGATGTGCACGCGCACGCACGTTTTTCCGCGCGTATATAGCGTGTGTATTTATTATTATTATTATTATTATCATTACTGTTATTACGTCGCCGTCGTCGTCATCGTGCGTGCACCTACCCGTGCAAACGTAATAATATATTACGCGACTGCCCCGCCGCCGTCCCGTCCGAGCGCGCGGCCGGCCGTACGTATACGGTACAGTAATAACGTTTACTAATTATTGCGCGCTCTCCACCCGCCACATTTCCACCCCGCGCGTACCTGCTTCCCGCCGCGGCGGTTGCCCTTCTCGGGAAACCCACCGCGCGGCCGGTATTCGAAATTAATCAATTTCCGCCGGTCGTTTGCGTGCACGCTGTACAATATTACAATACGCTGTACACGAATATTATTAATATAATATATTGTACGATACAATTTTCAGCGCACAAAGTAAAGGCGTACGCGAACCGCAGCGATGCGATTCGGAGAGAAATCGCCCGGTTTAAGGGGAATTTGTTCCTTAAAACCGCGCGACGGCAATGAGTGACGAAAACGAAAAAACAGAACGAATAAGGAAGTTGTAGACAAATTGTTCTAAAATATTATGTAGCGTATAATATTAATTCGCAATATTATTCGTTTGAAAAAACATTTTGTTCTTATAAAGTTTGCTGAAATACCCGATATTTCCCGGGATCGGTCTTTTTAAAAACGGAAATCGACGAAAGAAATACGTCCGTAAACTTAGTGACAGAATTGAATTGAATTCATTCAGTTAAACCTATCCAACAATTTTGTCGGTCATTATTGGAAAATTTTTATAATTTGTTGAACGAATGTTGAAGAAATTCAATTTAACATGCGTCCTTTCCATTTCATACCGTATCCCCCTATATCACAGTTAATTGTTGTTGCCCGGTAATTTTTGTTTTCTAAAAAGAGGTTACTCCAAATTAAATAATATTATATAAAAATCAAAGAAAATCATAATTCAATTTTCGTTCCAAAAACACCAAAAACCTTGTATCAGCTACCCTTTTGGGGTTGAATTTCATCAACATCAGCGATTTGCGATGTTTGATCAAAATCAAAATAAAAAAAAGAGCTGAAACTGGATATGGGAGCGGTTACTGTTATAGATGAGAAGTTGGGAAGGTAGGATACATAAGGTTATTTCATTTATATCTGTAAGGTAACGATAAACCATTGCTTGACGAAAGACGATTCCGAGCGCAGTTCGGCAATACATAATTTGAAGTGACGTAATTTTTTTTGCGATTTTTGTTAACATTTTTATTTCAAAACGCTTATTAAAAAAAAAAAAAAAATCGTCCGATGATTGTGGAAATTTTACCACGTCTTGGTAAGTCCAATATAAGTATTATTACCAAGTTTCAAGTCTGCGTGTATTTATAACCGAACAAAAACTCCCAAAAGTTTAAATTCCTTAAAAGCTTGAAAGTGGCTAAAAAGTTCAAAACGTCATTCGTGTTTTTATAAAATAATAAAAACGAGAAATTGTACGTTTTCCTACGTTTTTTACCACTTCAGTGCTTTTATTTAAAAAATGGCATCGAAAATCAAAAAATGATCTGTTTAAAGTACAATTTAGGCAACTTGAGTTTTCAAAAAAGTTGCTACGCTTATACATCGGAGCAAGTTTACTAGGAAAAAACTTGTCCATGGACTAGAACAAAGAAAGAAAGAAAAAAAAGAAATAAACAGCAATGTAAAACCAATAGCTCCCTCCTCGCTACGTTCGAAATCTAAAATGTATAAATTAGTTTTACGGACAGACTGACATGTATACGGTCTTATGTCAAATCAATTTACAAACTTGTTTCGCGCGGTTTCTTGCCATCGGTATACATTCGATATCGCATCGATGGTCGGTTGTCTGTTGGACCATTAAGTTTTATTTTGGCACGTTTCAGCATTATTATATGTACAGGAGAGAAACATTATAACATTTATTTTCGTTTCGCTATAATTATGATTTATTATTATTATTGCGGCGAATAGTAGAAAATTCGACATTTTTTGTAGGGCAGTTGATGGGTGGGCGGTAGATAGGCAGGCGAGTAATACTCCGTCATATTCCTCTAAAAAACGTGAAATACGGATCGACGTCATTGCCGCAGGCCGCGGATATTTCTAGTACACGCATGTATACGAATCATACATATGAAAATGATACGATAATTATCGGCTTTAACTACAAAATATCGCGCGTCGCGGTTTTGTTTTTATAATAACAATAATATCTATGATATTTTTTTTTTTTTTTTTATCAAAATGAAAGAATTCCGATGCATTTTTACTCGGATGGAGATTTTTTTTTTTTTTTTCATTATTAATTTCGTTGCTGCATATTGTTGTTTGTGTAACAATAATAATATAGAAGTTACATTGTGTACAAGTTGTTTTTTTTTTCGGACGCGCAAAATGATTACTCCATTATAACATCGTGTATATATATATATATATATTAAATTATTATATACACTCTCGCGGGAAAAGCAGCTGCAGCAGTGCGAAGGGGATGAAGACGCGGGCGCGGCGAAGTTTTTTCTCGTTTGCCCACCCCGTGTCTCACCGTTTCCGAGAACCGTCCCCCCGCACGCCCCAAAAAGCCACTCCGCACACCCGCCCGCCCCATCAACCGCCCCGCCCGACCCGCCGGTCGGGGCGGCAGAGTCTTCTCCGCCGCGCGCCGCAGGCGGGAACCGTTGCCGCGCCGCGTATAAACCCGCCGCGCGGAATGAACGGCTTTGAATTCTTCTCATAACTTAACCTCGCTCTTCCGTTTTAATAAAACCCTTCGCCGCCGACACTATCCGCCGCGCGACCCCGCCGCCACTACGCCGTACGCCGCCGCCCGGGTGTAATATGTATACGCGCATATTATTTAACTTCCTTCCACCGGCCCACCTCCCCTACCGCCTTCCCCCCCCACCCCCCGGTCACCGATGATGCAGTGTATATATAGCGTAATCGTCGCATCATTCTGCGAGTTACTCGCGTCTCTCTCTCGTCGAGGACTCTCGCAGAGATCCGTGAATAACACGCTCGCGCGAAACGTGTACTGCCGTAAGTACACTCGTATACATAATGCATTAATACTTGCGCTCGAAATTATAATATTCTCCTCGGAAAACGGAAAACGATACGCGAATCGGTCGCCAGTGGTGGAATACGAACCTAAAATAACCCAGCAGCGACCTATTTAATCTACCGTCCGCAATACCCACACGCCAATGTTCCTGATATATTTCAATACCTTCAATGGGTTTTATTAAATTAGTGTAAATATTATTTAATAATTTCGTATTGAGCACACACCTACTTCTAAATCGTGAAAAAACATTCGTGAAGAATCGGTCGGATTCTCAAAGATCGTATAACTGCTAACGAGCCTTGAGCCGTGAAATTGATTAGAGAAAACTATATCTGACGTACCGACTACATTTAATATGTAATTAAATTATTCCCCGTATACATTTTAGGGTATTTTCGATCAGGGTGGCTAACCTCCCATCTTCAACCCTATTCAGTCTACTTCCTTCATTGGCCTTGTTCAAATACAAAACATGGCTGATATACTGCTAATGGGTGTGCTTTAGGAGGAAAGTTGGAAGGGAAATATACACGGAGTACAATATTTTTAGATTCAGAGTTAAGCAAGGGATCTATTAATGTGATTTTTTTCTGTCTGTAAAAACTTTTGAATAGAAAACTTCCTTCAATCGAAAAATGATTGAAGACCTTTTTTGATGAATTTTTGATCTAGTTGCTCACAAAGTAGGTAGGTTTTTGATTTTCTAAGTAGTTTTCATAATAATTCGGAAAAATAGGAAAAAAGATTAAAAACGATAAATTTACTGCGTTATAGTTCCTTTATTTTAAATTTTACTTTTTATGTTTAATACCTGAAATATTACTCTAATAAAAAAACTACAAAAGATTTTTTTGTTGCATTCTTAATCTAGTTCGTAAATAATAATGTTGTTTTTTTTTTAATAACTGAGTAAAACTGAAAAAAGAGACAGACATACTTCATACGATGGGTGCAGCCTCTGTTTTTGGTGAGAAGTTCAGAGGCAGGATATAGAGGGGAAATTAAATTGTATCTGTAAGCAACGATAAACCATTGTTTTATTAAAAACGATTCTGTGCGGAATTCAGTTGATAGTAGTAGTGCACGCAGGATTTTTTTCGGGATGGGTTTTGTCTATAATAATTTCCTAAAGAGAGCATAGCAGAGCACAGCATTCTCCTTTCCTGGAGAAACTCTTGGGGAAATCGAAAAATGACCTTCTTGAAGTACCTTCCCAGTTAGATTTCTTTTTACAGAAAGTGATATCATTGTTAATCGGAGCAAAATTGCTGGTTGAAAATTTGTCAACAGGAAAAAAATCATAGTATTTTACTAATATATTTCGTACACTTTCCCGTTTTTTCTCACTTTTTCCTTTTTATTGAGAAAATTTCCAGGAAAAATTTTCAAAAAATTTTCTTAAAGAACTACTTCAAGGAAATTCTCTTCCAGAAAAGGGGCTACGTTGTATACATCGGAGTTAGCTTTCAAGGTAGACCAGTGTTCGAATTAAAAAAAAAAGAAAAGAAATAAACATCTTTGTAAAATCAAAACCTAGAAAGAACGGGAAAATTTACGCAAATAGTACTTTTATTATTTTAGATTTTGTTTTTTATGTAATTTTTATTTAATAAGTACTTTATGAATAAAATTGTTCGACCAAACAAAAATGATTGACCATAATTTAACAGAAGCTTTATTTTAAGTTTAACTTATTAGTAAAAAGAAGTTGAGTATAATGCAGTATTTTTTTTTTTTATACTTTATTTGGAACAATAGGTTAGATATTCGTTTTAAGATTAGATAATCCAGTATTTTGTTATACCAGCATAGTTTCAGGAATAGTATCCTCTAATCCCACGAATAAAAAGCTTCTATTTTGTGTTTTTATAATTTTATTTTCGGAAAACAATTTTTTGGTTATGAAAAAAATCTCCGAAACTTTTTTTATTGTCTTAAAAATGTGGATGTCTTTTAACACGGTGATACCTATGTGAACACTTTTTTTTAAGTACCATATATGCCAATAATAGTTAAAAAAAAAAAAAAAAACTACAGAATATTACCCCCAATATTATATAAATATTTAATTTGGTTCTATACATTTATCATAACGACCGTGCGACTTAAATAAATATATCAAGATAAAAAAAAAAAAAAAACGAGTTTTGTACTATAGTTTTAAAATATTTTATAGTCCGTTATTGTTCTCACCAAGTCAATATAACGACCTGGCCGTCGCGTCGTTGTCGTCTTGTTTTGTTTTCAAGTTTTTTTTTTTTATATAAACGTGAAGTTTTGCGTGTTAATAAATATTTAATTTGCTTCTTTTGACATTTTTTCGCACATTCCAAATATTATTCTTATGCGACCGAATTTATTTCGTGTTTGTATACACAACATGTTTTTATACTCGAGCAGTCGAACGTGAATATATTCATATTTCCACGTGATGTCATTTTTCCTGAGTTTTTTAATATTCAGTTTAGTTACCCCTCCCACAATCAGTGGCTATGAATAGACATTATGAACACAATTATATACAGACATAAGAACAGTTGAAATTCGCGTTGAATGTTGAATTCATATTATACGCATTATGCGTGTAACAATTGATAAAACTTGATTATTTTGCAGCTATTCTGGATGCTTTCGGAATATATGTTTAATACAATATTTTGTTTTATACTTCGTACATCACATCAGGTCTAAAAATTGTATACAGGATATGACAGTTTACTATAATGCGTGTTAAGGAATTTAATTATAATCTATGGAGTGTAGTAGATTATATGTTGAAATGCTTGTATACCTACAATACAAATTTAATTTACATACTGAAAAGTGTATAGATTAAATGTTGCTGGTAGGTTTAATAGTAATAATAATAATTTCCATAAACGAATTTTATTTTTGTTGTTCTTTCTATGGTTTTTCATCGTTTTTAGAAATTAATAATATGTTCTCGTATCGTCATTTTGGCATTAACAAATGACAAATTTGGATTTTAACTTTTAAATAAATTTGAATTATGTTTTTTTTTTTTCTTATATTACATTGACCATTGTGGGATATTGTTTAAACACTATACACTTTGTGTAATTTTGTATCCTCACTCATTTCAACTTAAATCAGTATTAACTATTGATTTTCCAACAGCTATCCTCCCCGTTTCCGTTTCCACACAGATTCAAAAAAATAATATTTGGCTACAAATTTAAATGTGTAGAACATCATTATATTATAGATTTTCCGTTTATGAATTATAGGATGATTTAAAATTTAAATCGGTAAAAAATAAGGAAGGGTAACAAATAAATTGATCATAATTATGGTATAATGGATCACAATAAATGAATCACACTCTGTAAAATACAAATGTTCAGGATTTATTGTTGGCTAAATTATGTTTAAATTTGATTTAAGAAGATATTAGATTAGTGCGTCGACGTGTAGTGCACATTTTTTTAATTCTGTTGTGTATAACGCGACAAAAACAACTAATCGATCGATAATTGGCAGCCAAATGTATAGGTATTGAAGTTTTTTGATTGTATCGTTGAATAGTTTAACTATATTGCTTTTTAATTTTCGATAATATAATCGGATATTATTAAAATTCCGTGACCCGATCGTATCGTAGTTTTTCTATTTACGAATTCTAATAAAATATACAAATATTCCGCAGTTTATTGTTTGATTTATTTGTATTATTATTATTATTTTTGTTTTTGTACTTTTCACGTGTTTCTTATACATATATATATATATATATGGATGGATCAATGGTGCCTTATTATACTGTTGGATTAAACATTTTTATAGCCAACTTTAAATATTCTTATATTAAATTTTTTTATCATCTAAAAACGTTAAACAAAGCGACGAGGCTTAAAATGTGTTTTGAAAACTATGCAGGTAGATACCTGATATATAGTAGATATCTACTCATCGAAAATTGATTTTAATTGATATTTTAGAATATTTTAATCAAAATAAATATTAAAAATCGTTTAGGTAAAACCAGTTTTCTGAACCGATTTCATTATACCCATCGCTGAAATTATAACATATTATGTGTTTTGCTTAAGAAATCATCGTTTGGAAATTACACAGATTTCAAGCCCTGCGAAAAGATTTCCGCAAAAAAAAATATATACATATAAAGAGTGTAACTAGGCTTTTTGACACTCTGTATATCTGCCATATAAAATATAGGGTTATAAATTTGAAAGAAAGCTTTTTCTTTTGGCTGATTGTAAAACGAATTTTATTATGAAATTTATTTTGCATTTTTCGCCATTTTAAATTGTTTAGGTTATTTTTTTTACCTGTAAAGGTCATTTTTTTCTGTTTAGTTCTTTTTACATTAATTACATATTTTTAAATTTACTCAGGCTAAATTATAGAGTCATATTTATATTTTACATCCTTGTTTTAAAATATATATATATAAGCCAAATCTGTATACAAATAAGTACCAACTATGTTTTATTTGTCACGGTTCGATAAGATAAGGTGGATTGTGGCCATTAATTATTGCGGTATCTGTAAACAATTTGGTTCTTTAGATACTATTTTTATTTAGTATTCTATGATTTTAAGGGATTTTTAATGTATTTTTAATAATGCATTAAATTCACAGCCCCAGTAATAATAAATAATAAATAATGACAACGTAAATAAATATATTTATTAAACGAAAGCAAATATGAATAAATATCACTGATTAAAAAAAAATGATATATGACAGTTCGACAGCAATAATATTTCTCCCGTATAGTTTTTATTTTATACAATATAATATTCACGACGACGTAAGGAAAAAAATAAAGACACGTGCATTTTTTTTTATAAAAATATTTTCTCCATACGAAATTATGGTTTTTTTTTTTTTTTTTGTTCGCTGACAGAAAAACATAAATAAAAAAAAAATTAATTCTATATAAACGCTTTATGGGAAAATACTCTTAAATTTAACTCGACACGATTAAACATTATGTATTATTGAATATTTATAGGCCTACTCGAGTGCATATTTGTATTTAAATAAATAATATTTTGCATCCATAAAATATTGTTTAGGGATAAAAGTAGGAAAACATTCGAGAGAGGAGTTGCAAAAAACATTTGACCTCTGTATCACTGTTAGTAAATTTACTATTTAAATTTCAAATATGAGTTAAAGAATAATTTATGTATCGGGGGAGGTTTGAAGCCTCTCCCCGCGTTCGCCACTGAAATCAGAACTGCACATTTAAGAAAATCCTATAACGATGACATTTCCGATTTAACATATTTTTATCTTATTTTAATTTGTGTGTATGTGTGTGTTTGATTACAGGCCTAGAAGCTCAAGTACAAGAGACGTCCAAAGACCTATATTGGTTTTGATGAGATTATGCTGTTTTTATAATAACACAACTATATATACGTATTATATATTTTACAACATTATCAGCAGTCTACAGTTGTCGTCAACATGATATAATATTCATTATTACGAAATAAGTGGTTTTTAAAAAAATATATACGCAAAATATATAGCAACTAAATAAATATCTGCATCGGTCATCGCCCTATATACACTCGTATAATATGATAAACGTATATAAAAAACCTTTTTTTTTTTTTTTTTTTTTTAAAAAAAAAAAAAAATTAGTGTCTGGTTTGCTTGTACAAATCGTTTAACTATAATATTATTACGCTAAGTACTCGTGTATTATACGACGATAACGAAAAATGAAATAATTTCGTTTTTTTTTTTTTCAATGTGTACATTTGTACCTATGCGTCTATGTATATATATATATAACGTAACAGTTCGCTTTGCGTTTGGAACGTAGTGATTATGTAGAAAGTACCTATTATTTAAATATGTTTAACATTATTTTTGAGTGAGCTCACCTGTTAATGTTTTTTTTTTTTTTTTTTTTTTTTTTAAATGTACTTATTCGTTAGTATATCACAATAATATAAATTTAAAATATTCGTATCGTGTAATATGTATAGCCACAGCAGTTGTCTATACTCGTCGTATTATTAAAACTAATACTTATAATGTTATACATTCTTTACTAAAAAAAAAAGTGAAAAAAAAATTTAGTAGTATAATTTTCTTTTTCTTTTTGTATACACTTTTTAATAAATTCGCTTATATATTTTTTGCTCTAAAGAAGAAGGGCTTAAAATGGCATATGTGACTTAAGAGTCACTTATGCCATTTAGACAAAATTATAAAAAATAAAATGCCAAACATTTACATAAGCTCTTCTTTTCTGGGACACCGAAGATATATGCAGTGCAATTGATAATAATTCGTATCTAAATATAAGACACTTCCTCACTTTATTCTTATTCTTCTTGTCATTATTATTATAATAAATATATGATACTATTATATTATATTTGTAAACCGTTTATATAGAATCGTGTGTTAATGTGCAATGTTAGTGTCTAGGTAATACTGGTATTACATTTAAATAATAATAATAATAATAATATAATAAAACATGATAATATTATTTACTATTGGATTATTATTAATCCGACCAAAAAGAATAACTAATTATATTATAATATAATATAACATCAGTTATCACCTTATAATAATTGTATACAAATATTATAATTATATTATTGTAAGCTTATTATATAAATGTTGAAAAAAATACATAAGTAATATATGTATCCCTCAAATATAGTTACTGCGGGTAAATAAAATACCGAATCGTATAAAAATGTACATGGAATGTGTCATGACTATTTTTTTTTTCTTTTTACTGTTTCCTGTTCTCACACGTCCAATTTAATTCCAATTTTTAGTTTTGTTTTTTTGTTTTTGTATTTTATTAATATAGCATGGTACAAGATAATGTATGCAACATATTTTAACCTATCCGTCACCCGCCGTTTCCCAGGTTAGGTATTAGGTCAAACAAATATATTATTACTATGAATGCACTTTTGGACAATCAGCTGTTACCGGAATCGGTAAGCAATTTAAAAATATACGTTTACTGTGTTCGGTTATTACAAAACGTTATGGCAATCTTGCGGCCAAGTAGCGAACAATACAGCAAACTGCTTACCAAAACTGCATCGTCAAAATACGTTAATTACACGTTGTGCAGTTGTGTTTTGATTAGAGTGGTAGACCGCATATACCTATGTCACGAGTACCTTTATGAAGTAATATGGCGTCGGATAAATTATACGTGAACAGGCGACGTAGACCGCAATACTAGTACTTATAATATTATACCAGAAGCCAAGTAGGTATATCATATTATTATAATTATAACGTTAAACTTGCAGCACTATCGATTACACATTATTGTCTAAGAGATGTGAGAATTCGTTCGGTGAAATAGATAAAAACCCATATCTTTACACATAACCGATTAAACGAATATTTTAAAAATTTTAGTGCTGAGTATTATACACGGATTTTTACGCCATTTCATATCATTTTATAGGAAGCGAATATATATATATATATATGTATATTATTGATTTTATTGCATTTTACAGAACCGTGCTATTTGATTGGTTTACGCTCAAAGTGGGTTGTTGCGTATGTTAAGTATCGCGGTAATAATAACCAACTGGTGCCTGTGGTGGCGTTTGGCCGTTAGCTATCACCCCGCTCGTGCAATAGGCGTGCGATTATCGGACATCATACTTCAAGGTGCGTGAAGTGTCGTCCGTTTTCGTTGTATTATTACAATTACCCGTTTTGTATTCACAATATTAATTATACCCGTTGGCCGTTTCATTCATTGGCAAGTTTCGATTCGAATTATATTCAATTATTACGTATTATATTTTACTTGTGATTGAAGTACACTAAAATAAACGTGTTCTCAAAACATTCATCCGACTCTCGTCCGATATTTCGAGTATTTTCAAAAATTCGTTATTTTTTTTTTTTATTATTATTATTACGAATTTGACGGTGTTTTCATAATTGGTCACCCGTTTTTTATATTTTTAATTATATTATATAGGAAAAAAAACGATGAGAAAAACAATTTTTTCAAAATTCCTTCTAATTATAGCTAGGTATGTTAAAATTATCAAAAACCGATTTTTTCTGGTTTTCTTTTAAGTTTGTGTGATATATTGTACGTATAACGATATGCACTAATATCTAACGTACTTTTCGAAATTGTATAACTAAGATGAAACGCAATTTTTTGAAAATGAGTTTACACCTCGAAAAATAGAATCGATTCTCTACCCACGACAAAATTAGAAAACATTTTGAACAGTTTACCGTGATTTTTACGATTTTCGTCAAAATTTGAACTTATAACGCTTAGATATTTAGAAAAAATACTACTACATTAATTCTCAAATAGCCAAAAACCAATTTCAAAAATAACACAAACTGTGTTAATTGTGGATATTTTCTCGTTTTTTCCAATAATTAAGAAAACTATAAAGAAATCAATAATCAACCTCCATAATGTACTGACTATACATATTTCGCTACTAGAAACCACCCCGAAAGTACATAGTCGCCGATTGGATCAAGGATTCTGATAGAAAAGTTATTTACATAAAAAAAAAGACGTATCTTAGAAAAACCAATACATTCTTCGCTATGCTCAAAAATCTAAAAACAAATTTGAAACAGCTATATTTTCTTTGTGTACTTTTTTTTCAATAATGATTTCCATCAATTAAAATTAGGTATTTATTACACGCATTATTTTTGTTTTGTTTTTTTTTAATCTTACACTTTAAAACATTTTTAAGTCGTAGTATTATAGGTACCTATGTAAATTATGGTTTTTATTTTATAGCTCGTCGACGAATTCGGGTCGGTCGCTTTTCGTGTTTTTATTATTATTATTTTTTTTTTCGTCGTATTGTTCTCGCTCACATTTTACATTTTGTCGTCCTCGTACAGATCGGATAGTATTATAATATAATAATAATAATAATAATAATATATATAATAGTGAACCGTAAGAAAAAATATATATACTCATGCTCGGAGACTGCCGCAGCCGCCGCCGTTCGAAACTCGCGTTATTTAATCGTTTCGTTAATCTTTTCTTTTTTTTCTTTTTTTTTTTTCGTTTTTTTTTACTCCCCAACAAACCATACAACAACACATTCCCCAGCGCTGTAAAACGACGGTGATAATAATTCAAACGAATCGTGTACCGGCCCATGCCGCCGCGGTCGGAGGGACGTATCATGCACGTCATGTTGCACCCGTATGCGCATAATATCATATATATAGTTAGTAAGTATATATAAGTAAGTACACACACATATATATATGTACTTACCTTATCTACGTATATATGTATAATAACAATAATAAAAATCCAAAGACTGTATACACAACCGGTAAGTCTATAAGAACGTCATCCAATTAAAACGGATCCCGAGATAGGAAACCGTGGTGCGGTCATATATATCTATATAATGACCGCGCGGCATATTATTATAATGTTCAACGCTTTTCGATATTATATATAAGTAGGTGCAATTATACTCCCCCGCGTTATAGTGACAAGGCCGACCCTAACCTAACCTATAACCTATAACGAGCACACTCCGAGATCAATTCCCTTCCCCTTCGCCCCCTCTCACCGGTAATAATAATACTATATATCATAATAACTAGGGCAGATAATATATGTACGCCGATATGCCCTGAAAACCATTAAAGATCTGACACCTGAAATAACTTATATGTTCTGTACGTTGCTTTAAAAATCCGGATTAAGACGTCAATGGACAAAAAAAAACGACATTTTTTCACTTTTTTCCTAACAAAAATTGCATACAACTTTATAAACACTTTCGTGAATTCTGGACACTTAAAATTTTGAAGGACGAAACCTCTTTAGCTTCCTTCTCATAAACGTCTCCTTCCCTGGTTAGAATGAATATGAAATGTAGAATTATTAATGGTAAGTTATGGTCTGGTGGTGTAACAAATTCACGTTTGCATCATGCTCACTCAGCCTCGGCTCAGCAATTCGGTTTTGGTTTACTGGATATGTATCGCACTATCATAAATTTTAAATTATTGGTAAATACGTCATCTTGGATGGTGGCTATATGCCACGTGCCGTCGTCTCTTCGTTAAATTTGAAAAACCGTTAGTCGTGCACTTTGATCGCTATGCTTTACCATACAAAATACATCGATATTATAAGGTTTTTTTTTCTTAATTATGTTTAAAAACACGTGGTTTGATTTTCATATATAGGAGGCGAATTGATGGAAAATTAGTAGAATTGGTATAAAATAAAATGTAATGGTTGATCTGTATTCGGGTGAAAACAAGTGATGGTCGAACTGAACCAAGAAAGGTGTTAGAACAAAACATAAACTTAATTATGAAATTGTCAATTCTCCTGCAGAATTAGGTAACACAGTATTATTAAATAGTAACGGCATAAACCAAATACGAAAAAATATATATCATAAATTCACGAATATCAAAAAAAACGATCAGATTTTACCAAAAATCTCTTAATGACTTCAGTACACATGATACTATTAACGCATTATAAATTAAAACAAATATCAATGAACATTTTTACTGGACAAATATTCTGCATACAGCACTATTTTATAATAATTCTAAGCCTGTAGATGGGCATATGGAAATGGATGTTTTCAAAACTTTTTTGTTCGAAACGCGATTCGGGCGTTTTATTTAGGTAAAAAGTATAAATCGACCAACTATCCCGGGTAAAAATTTGGTGAGCGTAGGATCGATAAGAAAAATGTCGTTACAAAGTTGAATCCGGTGCCGCATTTCCCACTTTCCCCAGCCCCCGCTACCGCCAGTATCGGGGCCATCGATAAAATGTGCGCGCTATTTTTGGCCGTCTACGAAGCCGAAAAGGTTACCGACCCTCGGGGGTCACAGAATGCAACCCGTCCGCATTTGAAATAATTTTACTATATTATTGTATTATTATTAAAGGGTAAAGGTACGCGCTACGAATTCGTGGCGCATTGCGCGCGGCGCTACAATCGTTCGCGGAACTCGAATAATTCGGAAACGATTCGTATACCTTACCTAACCTATACACGTTTTATTACGATTAATAATCGTATTAATAAATAATAAATTACGGAACAACGGAGTGTAAATATACATACTGTAACGTCAAGGATTGGTCGGGCCGTCCGTCAGCTTTTCGAAATATTATCGCGGCCACATAGACGACCTATACCGGGCGAACTTATATCGCGCAGTATACTCATGTGTATTTGTATACATAATATATTATTAATCCGTAATCGGCGGGATTCGAATTCCGCGGGCTTCCGGCCACTCAGACACCGGAGAATCTACGTGTGCATTTTATTATCACAACAATAATATGTGCCCGCAGTGTCCCATGTACAGGTTGGTTATCACGATCCGTCGGTTATCTACGAAGATTTCGAGTATAGTAAAATTAATTTTGGTTCTTTTTTCGTCGGTTTTTTTATACAGAGCCATTAAACGATTCCGTTTATAATATTTTCAAAATTTTACTTCAATTCCGTATATGCACTATAAACATTACTTGTTGAATTTTGATTTTCAAATATTGGTAGCGAAATGTTTAAAATTCGTATCCTGGAGGAATTAGGGAACAATTATAATTGCTATCGTCTACAAATAAATAATATAACGTGTATTGCTCTTTCTTACTACTGAAAATATTCGTTTAATTTGAAATTGAT